TAATATGCTCGGCCTGCTTCTTCCTCTGAAGACACTACAGATTGTTTTCACAGGCTTTCCACTCCACTCCACTCCACTCCACTCCCATCATTGCTCTGAGGAGAGTCCCACTCACTGTCTGCCACCATGAGGCCTCTATCACAGAATGGCTGCCCATCTCAGAAGTGTGTGCTCTTTTCTGAGTACCTCAAGAAGGCCCTCTTCTAGTCTTGGTGCACTTAGAGTATGGATTAGGAGACCTGCTACCCTGATAGAATAGTAGTGAAGTGGGACTGGAGAGGTGGCTCAGTGGTTAAAAGCAGTTGCTACTCTCGCAGAGGAGCTGGGTTTGATTCCCAGCATCCACATAATAGCTCACAACCATCTAGTTCCAGGGGGTCCATAGCCCAACCAGGCACACATGTAGTGCACAAACATATGTGCACGCAAACATTCATACACATAAAATGAAAACAAATAAATCTTTAAAAAAGAACAGTAGTGATAAAGAAACTGGGAGTTCAAGCCTACTTGTTTGATCCCTTCACTATTCATTCTTCGGGCATCTGCATCAATGATTCGTCTTCCTTGTCAACTTGATAGATTAGGAATCACCCAGGAGATGCACCTTTGGGAGTTTCTAGGCAGGTATTTTTCAGAACAGTTCAACTGCAAATGGAAGACTCACCCTGAATGTCAGTGGCGCCGTTCCGTAGGCTGGGGTCCCAAGCTGAATAATAGAAGGGAACAGAAGAGAAAGCAAAGTGCTGAGCACAAGCATCTCTCTTGGCTTTCTGACTGCAGATGCACCGTGACCAGCTACCTCACTGCTGACACCAGAGCTAGAGCTGCTCTTTCTGCCAAGCTTCCCCCACCATGATGGACTGTGCCTCTAAATTGTGAACTAAAATAAACCTTTCCTTCTCTAAATTGCCCTTGTCAAATATTTTGTCAGATAAATGAGACCTACTAATACACCTCCATTACTATGTATTTGACATGAATCAGGTAGAATCTATTGAGAACCCTTGCTTGGATAATCAAGGCAATGACTGCTGTATCTCTTTGTTCTGGGCAAGGAGGCGTGTTGTTCTCCCCAAATGGGACTGAGCAGGAAACCTGGAAGGTTGAAAATCCTGCCTCTTTAGGCAGCCACAGGAGTCACCAGTTCAGTTTATCTGTGAATAGCAAGGCCCTTGTGGCACTGATAAAGCCACAGAGGAATGGTCTTCTGGGGAGATCAACAATCATGACTGGCCTGCAGTCTTCCTTGCCGTAGGTTTCAATGATCACTTTGTTGGTGCACCCAGCACATGGGAAGGGAGGGAACAAGTGTGAGGCTTGGACAGGGGAGCTGGCCTAAGCCCATTACTGCAGTACCACAGCAGCAGGTTGGCCCCAGGAGGTAGAGGTGAGTCACACACAGCCTGCAAGAGGAAACTGCATTTTCTAAATTTAAAGTCCTTGTCTGATGCAATTGTGAATTTGCTTTGTTATTTTCCTGGGAAAATGTACTAAATAGAGAAAAATGACAGTGATACAAATAGGGTTTCATTGAGCCTAGAGTGTAATTATTACTCCTGTGATTTTCAGTTAGATTGTTCATGTGGATAAGCAGGAGAAACTTGGCAGAAAGGATCACGTACAAAATACTTGGAGCAGACTAAACTCTATAGTCTATTCAAAGAAGGCATGCAGTCCACTCAGAAGAGGGCTTAGCTGTCATTTCCTTGGTAATCTCAATCTCAAGCACCACGGAAGAGTTTTCTGGGACACTTAGAACATTTGTTTCTGCCTGAGCAAGACAGGCATCAAAGTACCATTACTTGAATTTAATGTAGAGAAGTTTGAATTCTATTCTCAAATTTTGTTTTGAAAGTGACATTTTACTGGGCGGTGGTGGCACACGCCTTTAATCCCAGCACTCAGGAGTCAGAGGCAGGCAGATCTCTGTGAGTTTGAGGCCAGCCTGGGCTACAGAGCAGGTTCCAGGGGAGCTGGGACTGTTATATAGAGAAACCTTATCTTGGAAAATAAAAAAAAAAGAGGAAGAAGAAAAGGAAAGTGACATTTTGAAGTCTTTCACATGATAGAAAATGTTAGACACAAATTAACATTTCTAACAAAAGAGCTGTCAATCAAGCGAGAAAAACTCTACACTAGATATGAGCATGATTGAGTCTATGTCACAAAAACTCCTAAAAATGGCTGCTAGGGAGATCCAACACTAGACTTAATATACAGGGGATCAGACTGGAACTTCTGTGGCTGCCCTGGGGCACCTTGTGAGGAAGGGTTACTGTTAGTCTGTCTTCTGGACCTGGATTCTTTGACTATGTATGCTGATGTTGGAGAAGTCAAAGAAGAAGGTTTTCTAGCTAGGTTTGGTGGTGAATTCTGTCAATCCTAGCACTCAGGAGGCTTTGGCAGTAGAGTTCAAGACCAACTTAGTCTACAATAGCATGTCCAAGGACATCTAGTTTACATAGCAAGACCCTGTCTAAAAAAACATTTAAAGTAGAATTTCTGTCATTTTTTTCATACTTTATAAATGGTGACACACAGTACAAAACTGGTATAGATAGCCTTCCAAAGTTGCTTCCAATGATCCTGCCTCTGGTTTTTAGAACTCATTTCCTGTTGTATGATCTGGAGCCAGCAAATTGTAATGATATCCCTGGGGTGATAAGGAATCACCAGACTTGGTCATAAAAGCCATCGGCTTAAGTCTTACGAGCATATCTGATGTTTCTGTTCTTTGATGGAGCCCCTTGCTCAATGTGAGCTGACAGATGGCAGAGCAGGAAATGAGGTCAGCTTTGACATATTCATAGCCAGGAGGAACATAGGCCCCGGTCCCCAGATAGAGGACCTAAATCCTGTCCCCCTCTCTCAGTAAGCTTGGAAGTGGGTAATGCCTAGTGAACTTTGAGCCCCCTGAATCCTCAGGTGACATCTGACTGCAGAGCTGAGAACAACCACACATTTGTTGCTGCATGCATCAGCATTTTGAGGGGTGGGGATGGATGACAGAGTCTTACCATGTAGCCCTGGGGAGCCTGGAACTTGCTATGTGGATCAGACTGGTATTGAACTCACAGAAAGCTACTTGCCTTTGCCTTCTGAGTGCTGAGATTTAAGGTGTGCACCACCATGCCTAGCCATCAGTGTTATCTTTTTGCTGAGTTGTATTGCCTTGAGTATAATTTAACTTCCCACCTGTTGATGGTCATTTGAGTATCCAGTTTAGGCTATTATAATTAAAAATGCTTTGAACATTCAAGTACAAGTCTTTGAGTGGACATATGTTTTCATTTCTTTTGAATAAATATGTAGGTGTAGGATTGTTGGATTTTAGGGGAACAAATGCTTAGTTTATAAAAGACTGCCAATCTGCTCTCCAAAGTGGCTGTACCATTTAGAGATGTGTGAGATTTCATGTTGCCTCACCTCCTCACTAACACTTAACATTCCAAATCTCTAATTTGGACCAATCTACAGCTAGGAAGAGGTATCTCATTGCAGATATAATGTGAATTTTTTTTCAATGACTAAGGTGGTGAGTGCCTTTTTAGGTGTTTTCTTTTAATTTCTTACTAATTAAAACTATGAGGTTATTTGCCTTCCATTTGTTGAACTGAGTAGTTACATTTGTTTTAGAAAGACGTTTTATAAATATCTTCACCCAGTCTGGGGTTTCTTTACTTATTTTTCACTTCAACCAAACTTTTGAAGGCCCAGAGTTTTTTAATCTTTATTAAATAATCCACATTATCTATTTTCCTTTATTGCTGTTCTCTTGCCTTGACATGGCCTGGAAACTTTCCTCAGTAGAAGTTGGCGTCATCTGAGGGCTCTGTGATAGTCTGAACAAGAATGGCCCCCATAGGCTCATATATTTGAATGCTTGTTCCCCATCTGGTGGAATTGTTTGGGTAGGATTAAGAGATGTGGCCTTTTTGAGGAGTGTCACTGAGGACTGGATTTGGGGTTTCAAAAACTCAGGTTATTCCCAGTACTCTTTTTCTCTGCCTCGTGGTTGTGGATTAGATATAAGCTTCGAACTACTTCTCTAGCCCCCAGTCTGCCTCGCTGCTGCCCTGCTCCCCACCATGACAGTCGTGAACTTTAGCCCTCTGGAACTGTGAGCCACAAATTAAAAACTTTCTTTTATAAAGTTCCTTCATCATGACGTTTTGTCATGGTGACATAAAAATAAGGTGGGCTCCCTTATGCACGTTCCATCTTCAAGGTCATTATCCTTGGTTCTCTGTTGCCCAATAACTTGAGAATTGCTATTGTATTATATATTATGTTCAGTTTTTTAAAGTTGTTCTAGATATGAGGAAAGAAACAGAAATTTCCATTTTTTTGTTTTGATTTGTTTTTTTGAGACAGGGTTTCTCTGCGTAGCTTTGCAGCCTGTCCTGGAACCTGTTCTGTAGACCAGGCCAGCCTCAGGGATCAGGACCACAGAGATCTGACTGCCTCTGCCTCCTGAATGCTGGGATTAAAGGCATGTGCCACCACCACTTGGCCCTTTTTTCATGTATGTATTTATTTGTGTGTTTTGCGGCACAGGGGGTTGAAGCTAGGACTCCACACATGTTATATGATTGCTGTACCATTGAATTACACTGCCAATTCATCTCCATTTAAAAAAATTGTTTTAGGGCCTATAGAGATGGTTCAGCACTCAAGAGCATTTGTTACTCTTACAGACAACCTGGATTCAGTTACCAATGCCCACATGGTGGCTTACAAACATCTGTAATTCCAGTTCTAGGGAATCTGACACCATCTTCTGAACTCCAAAGGCACCAGGCATGCATATAGTACACACACACACACACACACACACACACACACACACACACACACACACACATATATATACAGTCAAAACACCCATACACACAAAATAAAATTAATAAATATAAAAATAAAAATTTTTATATTTCTTGAATATTTGTTTTATTTTAAAAAATGTGTGTGTGTGTGTGTGTGTGTGTGTGTGTGTGTGTGTACACATCTGTGAGTACAGGTGGCTTCAAAGTCCAAAAGAAGGCCTCAGATCTGGAGCTGGAATTACAGAGGTTTTTGAGTGACTGACTTGGGTGTTGGGAACCGAACTGTGATCCTCTAGTAGAGCAGCAAGCGCCCTTAACCTCTGAGCCATCTCTATAGTCCCTAATTTATTTACTTACCTTTTATTTTTATTCATATGTATGTGACGTCTGTGTATATGCATGCCATGTATGTGCAGATGCCCTCAGGGACCAGAAGGGTGCATCCAGTTGCCTGGTGCTAAAGTTACAGGCAGTTGTAAACTGTCCAGTGTGGGTACTGAGGACCAAAATTAGGTCTTCTGAAGAAGCACTTGTAACCTCTGAGCCATCTCTCTAGCACACACACACACACACACACACACACACACACACACACACACCCTTTTTAAATTTGTGCTTTTTGAGACAGGGTCTCATGTAGCCCAGGCTGTCCTTAAATTCACTACGTAACTAAGGGTAATTCAGAACTTCTGATCCTTCTGTCTATCTCCCAAGTGCTGGGATTAAAGGTATTGTGCCCCCACACCTGGTTTATGCTGGAAATCAAATATGGGGTCTTGTGAATGCTAGGCAAACAGTCTATTAACTGAGCCAGAGATTCTACCTAACCAGTATTTCTTAAATGAAAACAATTTTATTGCCAATAATTTACATACCATAACATTGCCTTTATTTTCAACAGCCAGCTTCCCTAGGCGTAGATAATTAGGTCATTGGTGCTCCTGTCAGTCTGTCTTTTTTTTTTTTCTCTTCAGTGTTTTCAGGATTTCTCTCCCTTGGTTTGTGGCTAGGTTTCTCATTGGTACACTGTGTAAAATTGGGTCTTTCCTCTGGGTGTATTAAGGAGTTTTTATTTATCTCTTATCTCTATCTGTTTGATTATTGTGTCTTGGTGAGATGTGGTGATATATTGTGTACCCTAATAAAATTTGCCTGAAGATCAGAGAACAGAACAAGCCACTAGATTAAACATAGGTGCCAGCAGTGGTGGCACACACCTTTAATCCTAGCACTCTGGGAGGCAGAGATCTGTCTGGATCTCTGTGAGTTCAAAGCCACTCTAGACTACATGAGATTGACTCAGTCTAGGAGAGAAACAGAGCCAGGCAATGGTGGCACACGCCTTTAATCCTAGCACTTGAAATCTCATGCATTTGCTTGGAAGCACACACGCCATTAATCCCAGCACTAGAAAGGAAGTGATGGATGAGCAGAGAAAGGTATATAAGGCGTAAGGAGACAGGAATTAAAGGCCTTCTGACTGGAGAGCTTTTCAGGCTGAGGAGTCCAAGGGGTGAGACGTAGCAGTGGCTTGTTCCTTTGTCTCTCTGACCTTTCAGCATTTACCCCAATATAGGGCTCTGGGTTTTTTATTAGAAGACTGTTTAGAAATTTGAGCAACAGAGAAACATTTCCTGATTTTTTTTTTTGTTGTTGTTGTTTTTTGTTTTGGAGACAGGGTTTCTCTGTGTAGCTTTGCGCCTTTCCTGGAACTTGTTTTGGAGACCAGGCTGGCCTTGAGCTCACAGAGATCCACCTGCCTCTACCTCCCGAGTGCTGGAATTAAAGGCATGCGCCACCATTACCCTGCTCATTTCCTGATTTATTTGCCTTGATCCTTGTGAAATTCCTTGGCTATTACACTTGTCTCCCAGTTTCTCGGGTCAAATAAACATCCTGCTTTTTGCTGGTGATATGGAACTTCAGACTGACTTTGGTTTGATCTGGTCTGTTGAGGCCTGGGAGGTCAGTCCAAGTCAGCAGTCCACTGTAGAATTTATTTATTAGTAGGCTAGAGAGTATCTTGCCCCTTATGGCAACCAGGAGAAAGGATAAAGACACACAGCAAAGGGAACCTTGTTACCCCTTGGGGAAGACCTCTACAGAGTCTTCATGAACATTTGGTGCTGCCTCTTCTTAGTGAGGCAGGAGCTTCCTTTGAATGCTTTCAAAAATCATTTCAGAAGAGTCAGGACAACCAAATACTGAAGGACATCCATTGGTTGCCCACCCCACAGTCCCAGGCATTAGTCCACAAGTTAAGTCCATGGCCTAGTTGCGGTAAGCCTGTTCAACCGAGATTCACTCATTGCTAGAGGTCAGTGACCACTCTGGCACTGCTTTTCCTTTGCTCTTATTGTGAGAGACCATGTGCCTACCAACTACCAAAGTGGCACCAGATTTCACACCAATATTGACATTTTATTGACAGCTTCCAACTTTTCATGATCCCTTAATAGGGTGCTAATGCAACTGAACAGCAGGTGGAACATTCTCTATATCCCACAAATACACTCTTTTTCCTAAAGCTCGCATCATTGCACCAGCCATCTCGTGTAGAAGTAACCAACCATCTTATTAAATAAGAAACACGGAACCAATGCAAAGAAGAAAGCCAAGAGATCAAAGCTAAGAGCCTTACCCGTCTACTGCAGCTAGCCTCTTCAGCCAAGAGAGACCTACTTCCTGTGTGTTTGTCTTTATATAGACTTTCTGTTCTTCCTTCTCATTGGTTGTAAACCCAACCACATGACCGCCTCGTCACTGCCTGTTTGTACAGACCTCCAGATTTTCTATGGTTGGTATTGAGATTAAAGGCGTGTGTCTCCAATGCTGGCTGTATCCTTGACCACACAGAGATCTACCTAGCTCTGCCTACCAAGTGCTGGGATTAAAGGCGTGTGCCACGAACGCCCAGCTCTGCTATGGCTTACTATTAGCTCTGACCCCCAGGCAACTTTATTTATTAACATACAAATAAAATCACATTTCAGTACAAATAAAATATCGCCATAATCTCGTCTCAATTTGTTGACAGTAAAAGTCTGACTGATGAGTTGCCTCTGTATACAAGGCAATTCACATGCTACCCAGCAGGGCTCCTCGTTGCCCAGGGGACAGTGATTCACTAATTCATTTCCCCTACAGTCAGCTTTCTCAGACTGTTATTGGCACCAATTGTGTCAACAAGTGTCCTCCAAGTAGAGGCCATGGGATACAACGAGGGATACAAACAATTTAGTAGGTGCTCACATCTTGGGAAGATGAGGAAAAAGAATTGGGCTGTGGAAGCCTCCAATCCTTGATCCTCAACTGACATATTTAAATAGAAGGGAGAGGTGTATACCTCACAGGTTTGGCCAGCCCAACAGGGTTATCAGGGTTTTGTCCCTGGAATAAACACTTGAGGCAACTTAAAAGAGAAGACTTACTTATGTATTCATTTGTTTTTACTGTAATGGGGATTGAATTTAGGACCGTGTGCATGGAAGGCAAGCTTTCTCTGGCTGTGCTGCATCACCAGTCCTTTTTGATGCCAGATCTTGTTGAGTGGTCAAAACTACCCCTAAATTTTTATCTAGCCCAGTAAACCTTGAACTTGCTATCCTCCTGCTTCAGCCTCCTGATATTAGAAGCCTGCATCACCAAACCCAGCTGGAAAATTTTATTGATTCAACATTTCAAAAGTTTCAGTGCATAGTCAGCTGGTTCCTTTGTTTCTTGGCTGTGGTGAGACAGAGCATCATGACAAGGGTGTAGCAGAACAAAGTTGCTTACCACATGGTTGCCAGAAAGCAGAAAGGGTGACAGGAAGGGGTCGAGGCATTTATATCTTCCAGGGTGCCTCTTCCAATGACTTCCTTCCTTCAACCAACTGCCACCTGCTCGTTTTCTACCACCTCCCAATAATGCCACCAAATTGGAGGGATTAATTCATTGATTAAGTCAGAAGCCTCATGATCCAAGCACCTCTCAATGACTGGATCCATCAGCTGAGGACCAAGCCTTTGACGGGTAAGCCTTTGTGGTGGGGGGAGCTCACTTCATACTCAAACTATAGCAGTGGATATGGTTGTCTGACAATCCTGCTCATCCATTTATCAAGGGCAATGCAGGAAACGGAGGCTCAGATCACACACTCTCCCAGCTAGAGGGTGCCTATGGGCTATCTTTTCCAAGTTCTTTGGGTGTTTCAGCATAGCAATCGAGAAACAAACTAGGACATAAGCTTCCATAGACGACGCTCCAGACTTATAGAACACCTGGGTTCAATCTCCAGCACACACACCCACACACACCTATAAGGGACTGATACAGTATTGCAATGGTATTCCTCAAGTTTACAATTCGAGAGGGCAAGTATCTGTCTGCAGTACACAGAATGCAAAGGCCTCTGTACTTTTGAGGATTTCTTGAAGCTGAAGGTTCTCCATCTCCAAGATAAAACTAAGGGATTACTAGTCATCCCTGTAACCCCGATGTCTTGTCCCGTCCTGTCCTGTCCACCGTTGAGTCCACCTTGGGCCCGGATTAGCGGCAATGACCAAACACAACCCCAAAGGGCCCTGTGGGTCACACAGAGGAATCAGATGTCACCACCTAGAGGGCAGGACGCTGTCTGCACAGGACCTTAGGAGAGTCGGGATTCAGATCCGAAGCAAACAAGCACGCTGTGCCAGTCTTTCATTTATTAAAAGGGACGCAGGAGATTCCAACTTTCATGTAAACGTCCCTTTATTTTTAAGGTAGGAGCTGACCCAAGCTGCAACTGGCTTTAGCCAAGTCATCAAGTACTTGCCCCAGTCTCCAGGAGAATTAATTGTCTGGGCAACCGTCAGTTTCGACCCAGCCTTCAGAACAGCCAGCACAGCTGCACTACGCCTGCGCGCTGGCTCTTTTGGAGCAAGCTCCGCCCTGCCTGCCAACACAACGCAGCCTTCCGTTGCCATGGAGCTGCGGGCTCAAACTACGCAGCCTCAGATCCACGGTGGCCGAGAGGCAGTCGGCCGTTAAGGGGACATCGTAAAGGGGGACATTTCTGAGGCCTGGTGCCAAGATACTGTTTCTCCGGGGCCACTGCTGAGGAAGTCAGCGAGGAGCTGTTCCCGGGTGGAGGGACCCTTCTGCGGGACCACTGCCTAGGGGTCATTTGGGAGGGGCTATTGCTAAGGGGCCGTCTTCAGGGACCATTCTTTAGGAGCTGTTGCTGAGGAACCACTACGGAGGAGCCGTTCCTGAGGGGTTTGGGCAACGGTCCATTCCTGGGGGACCTTTGCTGAAGTCTCATCGCTGAAGGACGTTCCTGGACTGGCCAGAGAGGTGGGTACTGATGATGCGTTCTGCCGGAGGCTGCCCTGAGGATGTGCTGGACATGGGTGGCTGACTTCTCTGTGTGGCTGCATGGTTGTGAGCCACGTGGTTACCGCAGTTTATGAAGAGGCAGAGTCAAACTTTGCTGGAGAGGACCAGGCACCAGTCTTTGGGAGATGCGAGTAAGATTCACATCCTAGCTGGGCAGTCGTCGCGCACGCCTTTAATCACAGCACTCAGGAGACAGAGACAGGAGGATCTCTGTAAGTTCGAGGCCAGCCTGGTCTACAAAGAGAGTTCCAGAACAGCCAGGGCTACACAAAAACCGGTCTCGAAAAAACCAACAACAACAACAAAAATTCACATCCATAAAGAACCCTTCGTTGGAAGTGGATAGGACTCCTTAGCTTGGTTTCCCATAAAATAATTTCTTTATGCAAGTAAAGATGTTTAGCAAAATACTCCCTGAATGTCTACTGTAGGCCAGGTACTGGTACTGAGCTAGGTAATGAGTTGGACTGCTTAGGTACTCACTCGTGGATATTCTCTTCATACAAATGATGCCTAATTTCTTGTGTGCAATGTGAGAACTGACTGTCAAGCAAATATCAAAAGCCCGGCCAAGCCAATAAATAGAATCTCACCCCAATCCACAGCACAGTGCCTCTCCTCGTTAACTATGCACAGACCTGTGATCCTCAGTTCATCTTTGCTTATAGTTAGATTAGAAATTTACTCTTGAACAGTAGTTTCTGTTGATTGGTTGGTTGGCTTTTCAAGGCAGGGTTTCTCTGTGTAGCCCTGGCTGTCCTGGAACTCAGAGATCCACCTGCCTCTGCCTCTCAAGTGCAGGGATCAAAGGCATGGGCCACCACCACTTAGCCTGGAGCCCTGTCTTAAAGACAAACATGAACTTCTGGCTTCAAGACTGACAGAATACATTTCTGTGATGTAAAGCATGCAGATTGGGGTGTTTTGTTATGGCAACCCTGGAAAACTAATGTGAGAAGTAAGAGTTTCTGCAGTCTTCTCTAAGGAGAGGGTGTCCCTCTCAGAAGAAAGCCTATTGCTTCAGAAGGTAAGGTAGGCAACACAGTGTCTCCAGAGACACCCAATGTCCCAATCCTCTGAACCAGTAAAAACATGATGTCCTATGAATCAGAGGAACTGAGGTAGTTCATCAAGCTGCCTTTGAGATGAAAGAGTCATCCTGGGTCATCTCAGTGGGCCCCATGAATGCAGTTACACTAAAAGGTCATGTAAGTGGAAGAGGGAGGCAGGAGAGAGAACAGCACAGGTGACCCTGCTGACACTGCAGCTCTGAACGTGTTAGAATGAGGACTGGGGGCCAGTGAGTGACGGTGGCTGTAGACAGACAGGGAAAAGGCAAGAAAGTAGACGCACTCTCTGACTTCCTAGAAGGGTCATCTCTGCATTGGCTCTGTGGTTCTTATTTAACAAGACTGTTCATCTACAACACGGCCCTGCTGCTCCAGAACAACCTCGTTCTGATTTATGAGGACTGGCCTCAAAGTGCTGTGAGGCGGAAAGAAGAGAAAGGCAACCTAGGGTTATACCAAGTGCAGTTTACTATCGGAGTTGGGGGTCGGGGGACGGGAGGAGCTTACAAGTGTGGGCCTGAATGGCAGCAGGCAAGATGGAAACTTGCAACCTAGAGCAAAAATTTTGGGGCAAAAAGAGGAGCGTATTTGTGGACTAGAACAAAAGCAAACCCATTCTTTCGGAAATATGCCTGTTTAATCTTAAGATAACATCAAAACTGGATATGACAACATACTATTATAATTCCAGCTTTCAGGAGGCTGAGACAGGAGGATTGTGAATTCAAGACTGTGGTGGTATTTTACTTGTACTGAAATGTGATTTTAATTGTATGTTAATAAATAAAGTTGCCTGGGGGTCAGAGCTATTAGAGCCATAGCAAGTGCGTGGCGTCGGTGGCACACGCCTTTAAGGACCTGGAGGGCGGTACATACAGGCAGTGACGAGGCAGTCACATGTTTGGGTTTACAACCACTGAGAAGGCAGAACAGCTAGAGTATATAAAGACATACACACAGGAAATAGGTCCCTTTTCAGAGAGCTCTCTTGGCTGAAGAGGATCCCTGAATCAGGAAGGGTGAGGCTCCAACGTGGTGGCAAGAGTTTCCACCTAAAAACTGAGAAAAAAGATTCTAAAACGGAGCTAAAAACAGCTTCCTAATTGTCTCTCTCAAATGAGCGACAGCTGCCGGTTTGAGCTACTTGTGGGTTCCTAGCGTGCGCGCTCGACCTGCAGTATGGCGGGAATGAGGCCTCTGCAAGTGGCACATTAAGCTGTGTGGTGGATTTAGCCTTTGCTAGTACAAAAAAAAAAAAAAAGAGGTTTCTGGGCTACACGCTGCTTTGATGGAAGCATAGACCCACTATTTCTGAGAGTTGATGGCTCCCAGAGCTGGCAGAAAACGTATCACCGCCATGTTGGGAACTGAAGTGGGCGGAGCCAGCAGCGCCAGCCCCGTTTCAGGCTTAGAAGGCTGCAGTTCAAAGCAATAGGCTCAAGCTAATATAAAAAAATAAGCCACGTAAAAATGGCTACCACACAAAGAATCTGGATTATGTTCTCTTTGATATTCGTAACTAAAGAAAAACATTTGATTACAAAAGCTGTTGAGTTATGCCAAAATGTATATTTTAAAGGTACCTTGACTTCAAAATTTAGATGTAAGGATGTGTTGCTTCGGAAAGGAGGCTCTGCTTTTGTTTCCACAGAAAGTCAGAGGCTATGGATTTGTTCCAGATTAAGACACATCAGGTTTGACCAGCCAAGACCACCTGAAAGGTCTCCGATGACACCATGGCCCAGATGATCCAACATCCAGAACCATTTCAAGGCAACTGGCTCAGACAATACACCCTCATGGACTACTCCATAACCCTAAAATATTCTTTGTGTCCCCATAAGATACAGCGCCCCCCTCCAGCAGGAAGTAGTAAGAGAAGCTACGCCCAAATTCCCAAATATACCAAGCTGACTTTGGAGATGTGTAAAGGTTAAAACCTTCCTTTTTAAGAAAAGAAAAGGGGAAGTGCTGTGGGATGGTCTGTATGTCAAATGTGTTGCTGATTGGTCAATGAATAAATCACTGATTGGTCAGTGGCCAGGCAGGAAGTATAGGCGGGACTAACAGAGAGGAGAATTGAGAGAACAGGAAGCTGGGTGAGGGAGACACTGCCAGCCGCCATCAGGACAAGGAAGATGTAAAGTACCGGTAAGCCACAAGCCACATGGCAAGGTATAGATTAATAGAAATGGATTAATTTAAGCTGTAAGAACAGTTAGCAAGAAGCCTGCCACGGCCATACAGTTTGTAACCAATATAAGTCTCTGTGTTTATTTGGTTGGGTCTGAATGGCTGTGGGACTGGTGGGTGTCAGAGATTTGTCCTGACTGTGGGCCAGGCAGGAAAACTCAAGCTACACAAGACTGTAATGAGGTGCTGCCACAAAAAAAGGAGACAGTAAATTGCAGAGTCAGGGAGATCTCTGAAGCCAGAATCTGCTGTAAAGTCCCACATAATACTCTAATGATCTTATCTATTTATGATTTGTTGAGAAAAAACAGCTAGGGCTAATTGGAGGACATCATGATAATTTTGACTTAAAATGACAGTGGTTGGGCTGGAGAGATGGCTCAGAGGTTAATAACACTGGCTGCTCTTCCAGAGGTCCTAACTTCAATTCCCAGCAACCACATGGTGGCTCACAACCATCTGTAATGAGATCTGGTGCCCTCTTCTGGAGTGCAGGCAAACATGCAGGCAGAACACTGAATACATGATAAATACATAAATCTTAAAAAAAAAAAAAAAAAAAAAAAAAGATGTCAAGCTGACTCCAGTCACACCTGTTGACATCGTGGCCTTAGATCACTGAGCCTCAGTTCCCTGGCCTCTAGAGCATGGGTCTCAATCCTTCAGTACAATTCTTCATGTTGTGGTGACCCCCTGTGATGATCTGAAAGAAAACGGCCCCCTAAGGGAGTGGCACTAATGGGAGGTGTGGCCTTGTTGGAGGAAGTGTGTCACTGTGGAGGCAGGCTTTGAGGTCTCATATATGCTCAAGCCATGCTCAGTGAGACAGTTCACTTCTTGTGCCTGCAAGATGTGGCGTACTCAGCTCCAGCACCATGTCTGCCTGCATGCCTCCTTGTTCCACCATGATGATGATAATGGACTGACTGAACCTCCGAACTGTAAGCAAGCCACCACAATTAAATGTTTCCTTTATAAGAGTTACTGTGGTCATGGTGTCTTTTCACAGCAATAGAAACCCTAAGACACCCCCAACCATAAAATTATTTCATTGCTAATTCATAACTATAACTTTGCTACTGTTAATAAATTTTAATGTAGATATCTGATATGCAACCCCTAAGGGGGTCGAGGCCCACAGGTTGAGAACTGCTGCTCTAGAATAATGAAATGAATTTGTGCTGTTTTTAGCTAACAAGTATATAGTAATTTATTTTTTTTTAAAAAGTGGGGAAAGCAAAGGGTTTGTTCTTTTTTTTCCTGTATGATGCCTAGCTCCTAATGTCTAATGCCAAAGCTCCACCTCCCATTTCACTGTTGTCATATCAGCCTTTTCACTGTTTCATGTCCTTACGAGCACCTGCTAGATCTTTATGTTCCCAAGTCTGATGACTATGTAATGATAGCTCACTGTAACTTTGCAGTTCCCTTATTACAGATGATGTTGAACTACTTTTCTTAAGTTATGATCATGAGGTAGTTTATCATCCAAAAGAGGACTCTATTGATAATACTAGAAGAACAGATGTACAGCCGGGTATGCTGATGAACTGGATATATGGCTGCCGCATGTATTGGCTGAATGTCTCTTATTATAAAGCTCCTGATAATAAAGCTTTTGCCTGTGTTTCTTCTGGGGAGTGTATTCTGCATAAACTCAGCAGGTCCTTTTCATGGTCTTGATGGTAAACCTTTTAAATTGTGGATTGTTATATCTTCTACCCCATAGCGTTTCTCTGAGTCTCCTTAGGATGTCATCTGATCAGAAGTGTTAAATTCAAATGTAGGTGACTCTATCAGCATTTTCTCTCATGGCTAATGTCTTTGGTGCCTTATTTAGAAACCTTGAGGTCATGACTCCCCCTTGGCCACTGCAGTGGTTTCACTTTTCACATATGAGCTTTTAATCCACATGGAGATGATTTTCCAGGAAAGGGTCCAGCTTCTCAACATGCCCACTGAAAAACACCCAGTCCTGCTTGCTGGTGAGCAATCAGATTTTGTACTAAGTGGTATCGATATTTAGCAACCAATTTCTAGACTCCTTATCCTATTCTACAGGTCTGTTTCTGTTTGCCATGCATTGTTCTAATTTTATAACTTCATAATAAGTCTTAACATTGGTAGGACACGCCTCCCTTATGCTCCTTCAACACTATTGTCCTTTGTTCTTCTACTTATATTTTAAAATGCACTGGGCAAGTTTCTGATTTGTTTTTCTCAGTTGTATGCACATATGTACCTGCACATGTGCACAGCCCTGCTGAGACTTGGATGCAGTTCAGTGACTCTAAAATTGACTTATCGACTATAGGAAGTCTCCAGTGGCTAAACCTGAGTCTGTTTATTTATATTTTATTCTTTTTGCAATTTTTTTCTTATAGAAAAATTCCATAATCATAAAAATAAAGAGAAAGAGGCTGGGGAGATGGTTGAACTGTTAAGGGCATTTGTGGCTCTTGCAGAGAACTGAAGTTTAATTCCTGGTGCCAATATTGGGTCATTTACAACCACCTGTAACTGTAGTTCCAGGAGATCTGAAACCTTCTTCTGTCCTTTGCAGGCATCTTCGAGTTCACACACCACCACCACCACCACCACCACCACCAATAATAATAATAATAAATAATAAATCTGGGAAAAATTAAAACAAATAGGGGGAAGGATAATATGAACCTTAGATTCCAATCACAGCATATTAGTGCTGTGTACCCTGTTCCTATTTGGGCTAACACATTGTAAAGACAGCCAGGCATACTCCCATCCCTCTTGGAAAGCCTTAGGATGTACTTCTGCACGTTTAGCCAACCCATAAAATCAAATCAACTCCAACAAAACAGTCATTTTTAAATAAAATCCAATACCTGTTACTAATTTTCAGGAATTATCTCAAAAATTTCTTTTAGGGTTGTCTGCTTGAGTCAGGAGCCACACAGTATTCATAGGACAGGTGGCTGACTTGTCCCTCAAGGTCTTTTGACTTTTCTTCTTACTCTGATGTTCATTTGTTAAAGAAATTGGGTCATTTGTTCCATTTTTAAATTTTTAGTACATTTTGAAAATGTTGTATATGTGACACAGCACGTGTGTGGTCAGTTGTCTCCTACCAAGTGGGTGCTAGGGATTAAACCAAGGTCGTCGGGCTTGGTGGCAAGCCCTTACCTGCTGAGCCATCCTATCCTACCAAATCGTGCATGTTAAGTATATGTGTGAACAGACAGGTCTACTCACCACTTCCTTATCTTTTTTGCAACATGAATTATAACTCTTTTGACCTTTTAAAATTGCAGTTTTGTCTTGATATTTAGGACCTCTATATTCTAGATACAGACTTTTGTCAAATATCTCTGCTATAAATAATTTTTAGTCTGTATCTTATATATTTCCTCAATGTGTTTGTATAAGGAAAATTATTACCTTTTGTATTTTTGAGTCTTGTTATGTAGCAACTGCTGGTCTCAAACATCTTCTTTCCTCACTTCTTAAATAATGAAACCACAGGTGTATATCACTGCACTCTTAGTTCTTATAAATGTTAAGGATTTAAAAACCTATAATATTGTTGATACCTATTTTATAATAATTTTTTGCAGTTAATTTCTGTCTCCCAGTATGGAAGAACCTACTACCCTGCTTTCCGATGAGGACCTGGTGGACAGCCTCCCTGCCATAGACGATGGTAACAGAGGCCTTTTCCAAAATCAGACCAGTTGCAGCATAGAAGACAGTATGCTTCTTGATTGCCCTTTACTCCAGGGAAAGTACAGAAAGTGCATCTACTAAATCGTTTATTTCTCAAACAGGGAGTTCTGCTCTTGTCTTTAGTTGACAAATAATAAATAATGGCTGAGAATCTGAATGTGGCAATCCATATTATTCTATTTTCCAAGTCACCATTAATAAATGGACGCCATTTTTAATTTTAATCCTTTGAATGTGACCTATTTTTCGTTTTTCTGGAATATTTTAGAATTTCTTTTAAAAATTTCTGATGATCCAAACTTTTCTGAGATATCCTTGATTTTGTGTCCCTCCTAGCCTACAGACTTGATCCCATGGCCCTGTTTTCTGGGTCTGTGCGGACCCTGTCCCTTCTCCACCCTGTCCCTGACCTTTCTTCCTCTTGGGTTTGTGTGGTCCTCTCACTGGTCTTCCCTCTTCCATCCTCCTTGTGGTGGTAGGCTCCAGCCTTTTACACATTCTTTTCAGTAATTTTTACAGACGTATTTTGATGATGCGGAGATAAACCCATAGTTCTCTATGTTTTTTTTTTCTTTTTCTTTCTTTTTTTGTTTTTGTTTTTGTTTTTCGAGACAGGGTTTCTCTGTGTTGTCCTGGATCTCGCTCTGTAGAGCAGGCTGGCCTTGAACTCACAGAGATCCGCCTGGCTCTGCCTCCCAAGTGCTGGGATTAAAGACATGCGCCACCACTGCCCAGCTTCTGTTTTTTTTTTTGAAAGTCTACAGTGATGTTCTCAGAACCATAATTCTAAAATAATAATAATGATTTTTTTAAAATAGGGATTGTAAAGATGTCTGAATGGTTAAGAGTATTTACTGATGTTGCAGAGGACCCAGGTTCAGTTCTCAATACCTAGATTCTAGCCGCTCACGTATGTCTGTAACTCCAATTCCTGAGAACCTAGCGCCATCTTCTGGCCTCTGCAGGCACATGCATACATGCAAGCAAACAAACATAAAAAATAAAAAATTAAAAAATGTACATTTATTTGCTTCTGTGTGTGCATGCCATGGGTGTGTGGAGGTCAGAGGACAACTTGCGGAAGTCCTCTCCTTCAACCATGTGGGCTCTGGAGAGTGAACTCAGGTCACATCAGGCTTGGCAAGTAGGTACCTTACCCACTAAGCCACTTAGATGGCCTTCAGATTTTTTGAGAATTCTACATTTTGTTGGGGGAGTTGGGGGTAGTGGTTTCGAGACAGAGTTTCTCTGTGTAGCTTTGGAACCTGTCCTGGAACTCACTCTGTAGACCAGGCTGGCCTTGAACTCACAGAGATCCGCCTGCCTCTGCCTCCCAAGTGCTGGGATTAAAGGTGCGCACCACCTCTGCTGGACTTTTTTTGTTTTTTAAAAATATTTTTCTTTATCCTCTGAAAATATTTTGTTTTATATTTTGAGACAAGGATGTCCTCTAACTTCCTAGACCTGACCTGGAATTCCTGCTTTTCTTCCTTTTTCTTTTCCTGTGCTGGGATTATAGGAATGAGCAACCACACTCTGACTACAGTTTGGCTTTGTGTTGTTTTGTTTTGACTGTTTCCTTGATGTCTAGAAAGAATACAGTTGGAGGATCCAGAGTTTGAGATGGAACCATTTCTTCTGGGATTTGAGGACACCGTTCGCCTAGGATGCTGCTGGTAATCCTTGAGCGGCAGCCTTCCTTCTTTTGGAGTGTAGTTCAGTGGCTGTGGAGATGCTGGGTGGAGAGCATCCTCAGGTAGTGCTGAGTGATGTGGTTTGTGTGTGAAGCAAGTGTTATCTTTTGTTTTCAAGTCCAGTAAAAGAGGAAGTGACTGTCGAGAAAACGAAGAAGGCGACCACCAAAGACAGAGTCCAGGCGTTTCACCTTCGGAAAAGCTTGAACTTCCTGGACAAGCTGCACGAGGAGAAGGACCTTTTTATTCAGAAGACTCGGTGAGCTCACATGCCAAGGACCCATGGCCTAGCCACTCCTTCTGGTTGTACAGTGTCCATGTAGGAGGTCCTGCCTTTAGCTTCCTGCCAGAGTCTTTACAAGGAGCAACCTCACAACCCTGAAGAGATGTGGTGTCCAGGGCTCCACCTCCTTTCCCCCTCCCTCAATCTAGACAAGATCCCAGGGAATTAAGGGTGCTCTTAGGTCCTGCCAGGTTCTCCATGACCATCTTGTTTCTGCATGTTTCAGGTGTGACTGAGGCCTTAGTGAATAGCCCCCTACTTCTGGTCTTGGCCTCACTGGCCTTTGGTCTGCCAGCATATTCAGTGGAAATACTGAGTGTGTTTCTCCAACAAACAGAAAAATTGGAAACTAGTAGTAGGCAGCTGTTTCCTGTATGCCACTACTAGATTACCGTGTTTAGCTTTTCCCACTGCATATGTATCAACATGTGTGTCATAGCTAAGATTCTTTAGCTGAATCATTTGAAAGTAAATTTCAGGATCATGATACTACTCCTATTTTAGAGTCTCTGAAAAACAAAAGCATCTTTCTGCATGACCTTAGCATGTAACACCACCTGTGGGTATAGGTCTTACCCATACCAACGTCATGCTCTTCATGCTGCAGCTGTCCTGACATCCTCTGAGTGTCCGTTAGAACTCATGCTTTAGATTTTATTCTGTTATTTCTAGCTGAGGTGAAAGTCACATAACAGGAGTGAGCATTTTATCCAGGCTTACACAGGGAATGGCCTTGGTCTGTGTTACAGCGGCCGATGAGGGGCTGCAGCTGTATGCTCTTGAGGGCCTGAGCTTGCACGTACTCCGTTAACTGCATCTCCCTTGGCTTCCTAGGCATATCACCTGTGGGGGAGTTCACACAGCTGGCTCCTTGGGCAGGGTTTTCAGGGAACACCCTACTGTAGCTTGAGTTTTCCTACCTGGCCCACAGTCAGGACAAATCTCTCTCACCTGCCAGTCCCACAGCCTCTCAGACCAGACCCGACCAAGTAAACACAGAGACTTATATTGGTTTCCAACTGTATGGCCGTGGCAGGCTTCTTGCTAACTGTTCTTACAGCTTAAATTAATCCATTTCCATAAATCTATACCTTGCCACATGGCTCGTGGCTTACCGGCATCTTCACATGCTGTTTGTCATCGTGGCGGCTGGCAGTGTCTCTCTGACTCAGCCTTCCACTTCCCAGCTTTATTCTCCTCCTTGTCCCGCCTACACTTCCTGCCTAGCCAATGGCCAATCAGTGTTTTATTTATTGACTAATTAGCAACACATTTGCCATACAGAACATCCCACAGCACCCTACTCATGTGACATGATAGCGCCAGAGAGACGCTTAGAAAGACAAAGTATTCCTAGTCCTTGGCCTGCACCTTAGACCTTCCCCCTTCTCTACCCCACTGGCCCCTTCTGAGGCTAGAACTTTAGGAAAACATTATGGCAATTCTTATTTTAATGTCCTAGAGGGGAGCTGCGTGTCTGTCATCAGAGGATGGACCTCCTCACCAAACAGCAGGAGAGCTTGGCAGCTGAGATCGCCACAGAGAGAGAAGCCAACAACATGTAGGTCATCCTTGTGGGCAAGGAGGTCAGACAGCCAAGTGTTACCATGATGGCCAAGATAGTATCATACATAGAGGTTTATTCATTCATTCATTCATTCAACAAAGATAAGTCTTAAGTACCTGCTATGTTCAGATAGTTAAGAGGCAGACAGCATCTCTCCAGGGGGGCAAACACATCATAACACAAAGAAGAAATGTCAGTCTAGGAGCTGGCTCAGTTGGTGAAATACTTACTACACAAGTATGAGGACCTGAATTTGATCCCCAGCCCCCATAGCAGTGAGCACACACCTATAATCCCAACACTGAAGGATCTGGAGCTCTTGTTGGCTAGCCAGTTTAGCTGAATCTGAGTTCTAGATTCAGTGACAAAACCTGTCTCAAAAGCATAAGGCAGAGAATGATTGAGGAAGATACTTAATGTTGGCATCTGACTACATGAATGGCCCTTTCTGTATTCTATTGATATGCTCCAGGGCTGCTATGGGCCGTCTCCAGGCTGCATCCAGACGCCTTCACACAGAGCTGGAGAATGAGAAAGATCTGCAGTCCAAAATCACAGCCATGCTGAAGGACAGCGAGTAAGTTTTTGCAAGAGGGGGTTGGGGATTTAGCTCAGTGGTAGAGCGCTTGCCTAGCAAGCGCAAGGCCCTGGGTTCGATCCTCAGCTCCAAAAAAAAAAGTTTCTGCAAGAGCCTGGAAGGTGGGCTTCATAAGTTAGCATCTGGCTAGTTCACAGGGCACAGATATCGGAGCAGCTTGTGGGACAATTCCTGATTTGAGTATGAAGAATAATTTGCTTTTCACTTTCTAGATGCTTAGGAAATAAAAAGTGGCATGTTGACACAGCTGAAAGGAAAGCTCTCCACATGAAGTTTTGTTTTGTTTTGTTTTGTTTTCAGTTTCCTCAGTTTTATTTATAATTTTAGTAACTGTATAATCAGTTTCTTCCCCTCTTTTTCTTATTTCCTATACCTCTTGGCTGGGGCTCAGTGGTAGATCATTTGAGTGGCATGCATAAAGCCCTAATTTCATCCCTAACATTGGGGGAAAAAAAGTATTCTCTTCTTTTCTAGAAACATCCACAGGGGGATGCAAACTAGAACTGCCTCTAGCAAGTCCACAAAGAAAGGGTTTCTTTTGGGATATAACAGCTCACTGTTAACACCAGCAAGAGCTCCCAACATATACAGTTCAGTGAACCACTGGGCTACTGCCCAACTCTGGTCCAGAGCAAGGCTCTGCTGTTATATGACAGCAGATGAAGTTGGAAAGCTTTCCAGACTGAAGCCACACAGAGGACTAGAACATTGTCAGAAACCCTGACTGTAAGTGTAACAGCTGCTGACTCTTGACTACGTACCACAGTCAGACCAAACTTCTTCCCCTCTCCCACAGTGGACTCCTGAGCCTTAAGCCAGTCCCTGACTTGCACCTACTATAATTGCTACAATTCAAGCCACACACACAAGACTGAACACACACATAAAATGTGGAGAGATGTGCAGCTGGGGACAAGTCAGTCCATCTATGGCTGAGAAAGTCAATATGTATACTGTTCTTGATTGACACTTGGCTAGCTAGTGTCTGTGGTTCCTAAACCACAGCAGGCAAGACCCTTGGAGGCTCTGCCCGTACTGAGCTGCTATAAGCATCTGTTTACTTCTTAAATTGTTTTTCACTTTAAAACAATGTCAAACTTATAGAGGTAATTCAAAAATGGCTATGGCATCTTCTCCTATCTCCAATGCCAACAACGTCCCTTTTCTTTAAACCACAGTGGTGATTCAAATGAAGGTCTCTGGTGGCATTCCTATCTATTTATGTGGTATCTGAGATCTGGAACCACTGCCCCAAAGTCTTGTGTCCTATCTACATTGAGATACACTGAGCCCACCTTTTTTTTTTTTTATGGAGCTGAGAACCGAACCCAGGGCCTTGCGCTTGCTAGGCAAGAGCTCTACCACTGAGCTAAATCTCCAACCCAACTGAGTCCACCTTTGCTCCCTGACAAGCTTGGCTACCTGGTCTCTGCCGCTAAGGACTCCATCAATACAGAGCCCATTTCTAAAGGCAATGTTTCTCACCTATCTCCCTAACACATGTCACAGGACCATAATGGCTTTGAATGTTATTGGGGCTATAATGAAAGGAATGTTCCCTACTCAAGACAAAATTTCTATAGCATGTTCTCTCCAGATATGTGGTCCCTTTCTTCCACCCAACATTGAGGGACTTCAAGTATTTCAACTCTTAGTCCAGATTTCCTGTAACTGCCATGGAATTGATTGAGGAGAAAGATTGGACTCAACTCTATAGTCATGATTTGTTAAAAAATATTCTAACAAAATAAGAATGGAAGGAAATTTTCTTAATGCAAGTTAGCACATTTATTAAAAACCTAGAGCTATAGAGGACAGATTTGAGATATTTGCCTTGCTGTCAGATATGCCAAGTTTGAGCTGAAATACTTCTTCCCAATGTTGTATGGTGAGTCATGCACCTTCTGTCATTAGTTCTGGTCTGGCAGGGTCCTCTGGGCAGAACTTCTAGTAAAGCCATCCTCCAGGCAGAGCAAGGCCCCAGGAGATGCTCTTATGTAGCTATGCTCAGAATTCTGTAGCATATGTCTAGATGGGTCAGCCGTGATGGCCAAAAACCATACTTGACTCACTGCAGAGGTGCATGGATACATGAGTTCCCACATTCTGGGAAAGACAGTTTTGTGTTTGCCTTCCTGCTACTCATCCCAAACAAAGATGAGCTGCAAACCTCCTAGACTTGTGCTGGGAACCTGAGGAGTGCTGTGTACATTGTAGCACCACAGATGTAGTACTTACTGACAGTTGATGACAGAGTCATCCAAGACCAGAGTCAGACAGATCCTTCATTATCCAGATATTCCCTGGGCAGGGTGACTGCTACCATTCTCTAAGCCTCTTCCCAAGCGTGTTTGAAGACTCGGGGTGGTTCTTGGTAGTTCCAATGACCCCCTCAGAAGACATTTTCTAGATGTTTTCTTCAGGCCAGACAAGGGAGTCACTACAGTGAGCTGACCCACTCACTCAGGGTCAGATGCTGTTCCTGTGGCCAGATGCTAGCTCAGGCTAGATTTGATGTGATGGAAATTTTCCTAAGTTTGGATACCAGGAGTGGGACCTCAGTCTCTGGACCAAGGGGAAGCCTTAGAGAAGGGTGCTGACTCCTCATCAGTGGTGTCTAATATCTGCCTAGAGTATTTGTCAAAATAAAGTACCAGGATTGCCCCAGATCCCCAGATAGATGCTTCACAGAGGAGTGACACCAGGTCTTCAAACCCTTAGCAACCACAAACAACAAATGGTTTATTTTTGCAAGGAATGCCATGTGGCACATTGAGATCCAGAAGGGGCTATTTGAGGACGTCCGGAAGCGTAATGAAGAAGAAGCAGAAGCTAGGCAGAGGTCCCTTGAGATACACGCAGCCCAGCAGCTTCAAAAGGAGAAAGAAACCCTGGAGAAGGTGGAGAGGAACCGTCTGCTAAGGGCCCGGTAAGTGCCACCCAGACCTGGCCTTTGCCAGTTCCTTCATGTTCTACATCAAGTCTTTCTAGATCCAGCTCTTTGCATCTGTGCCATGGGTCCTGCCTCGCTCCCTACTCCATATTAAGTGCCCACAGTCACCATTGACCTGCACCAATGAGACCATCAGACCCTTCCTTCTGTATATTCCTTTATCTCTTCCCAGCTGTGCTGTTCTCTGGTCCTGTCACACATCTGGATACTTCTTTGCCTACACAAGCCTTGGAGTGCTCAAGCTCAGTTTCTGTACATCCTCTGAGGCAGTTCCTATCTGCTCAACCACTGATCCCCAGAAGCTAGGGGGCTATTGGACACTGCTCTCCCAAGATGGAGCAAGTCCCTCTTATCTCTTTATACCATCAACTTTGCTGGTCTCTTCTCCTGCTAGACTCCTACCCAGCCTGGGTCAGACCCTGTGTTTGGTGACTTCTTCATAGCAGAGCCCCCAGCAGCACTTTGTCTAATATTTGCGGCACACAAGTGTATCATGTTACACTTGTTACAGTCTCTGCCTCTGTCGCTGCAGGAAGTCCTTGCATGTGCAGAAGGAGCTGGGGCTAAGACATCAGAAACTGGTGGAAGATGCCCAGAGAAACCACAGGGTCGCTGTGAAGTTCCTGAAGGCCTCTCTGGGAAGGTGGGTCCTCACTTTAACTCTTTCTTCTGTCAATGCTCTTGAGGAATCTAGAAATGTGAGTTCCTGGCCTTCACTTTGAAATTCCCTAAGTAAGTCATTACCTAATCATCAGAAATAGATCTGGAGTTTTTATTTTAAGCTGCTATTTTTATTTTCGAGAGGAGCATGAGACACAATGAGGCCCTAGGGTCTAGACCTCCAACACCTGTCCCACAGGAATAGGCCCTGAACAGCAAGGCTTGTCCATTTGACCTTTGTGTTGTCAGCGTTCATTGTTTCTCCAGTAGAAGTAACCAGCACCTAAGACTCCTATAACTCTGTAATTGTCAGCATTACCTGCATACATCCCTAAAAATTCACATTACACCAGGCATAGTGGTGCACACCTTTAATCCCAGCACTGGGGAGGCAGAGGCAGGCTGATGTCTGAGTGTGAGGCCAGCCCGGTCTACATAGTGAGTTCCAGGACAGCCAGGGCTACATAGAGAGACCTTGTCTCAAAACAAACAAACAAAAGCAAAAAAATAAATAAATAAACAAAGCGCACATTACTCCAGAGTTCGGGAGCGAGAGCAGAAGGAGGAGATGGAGTCCCGCCGGCACATGAAACTGCGCATGGATGCTGTGCTGGCGCTGAAGAACAACATCACTGCCAGTCGGGTAGGTGTGGCTCCGCCTCTCTGACACAGCTAACCAACTGACCACCCACCCCCTGGGTCCTGCTCTGGGAAGCCAGAATTCTATCCTTGGCTCCTGCTGTGAGCCCAGCAGCCTGCTCAGCTGCTGCCTGAAGGTTCACCATGCCTCCACTATAGGCCTCCTGCCTCCACTGCAGACAGGAACCATGGTCCAGCAAAAGGAAAACAACTTAAAGCTGCTGTGAGAGGGCCTCATCTCAGTGGGAGAATAGTGACGGACCCAGGGCAGTGTGAGGGCCAACACTAGGGCTCAGGTCTGGGTTAGGTAGGAATGTGGTAGGGAAGAGTAGGCCACAACATCGTGAAGACTCAGGCAAGAGAACCAACAGTGGGTGGCCAGTTTGCACACAGATGCACAGAATTCCATACTCAAGGGACCCAGAGCTGTGTGTTGGCTGAAAGATACATGGGAAAATTATGAATGTTTGCAAATTGCCTACCTTGGACCCATAGTTTCAGCATTGATTTAAATAGACCCATTCAAGGAAAAGGTCTGAATATGAATGTGTGTGTGTGTGTATACATGGGCATATGCTGGTATTGTGACTTTAGAGTTCCATATTTCCAGGAAACACTAAAGAAGTTCCAAGCATGGGGCCAAAGCAGGGCAGAGGTGGCTAAGCAGAAGGCCCTTACAGAGAAGGAAGCGATCCTGGCCCAAGGTGGAGATGCATTCAAGCACCTTTTTCATCAGCGCAGGCACCAGGAACTGGAAGCCCAGAGGCGGTGAGAGCTGGGAGACATTTACCTGGGAAGTGGGCACAGAGAGAACCAAAAGGCTTAAGCTTCATCCCCTAAAAGTAACAAAGCTAATTCCTGCCCAGACTTTTCACCAAAAGCAGTTGTGGGTTGTGGGATGAGGACTGAAGCACTCCCTTCCCCAACGTGGGCTGCAGAAGTCTCCAGGGGGCTCTGGCATTTGGGGCCTTTTTATAGAGGTTCTTAGTGGGTGAGGACACCTCTTTTCTCATTTCCTCTCTTGACTTCCTGGTTCTTCAGCTGTGAGGTTCCTGAGCTTCTGTGGCTCTCTCCTTCTTGGGGGATGCCTGGGGCTCATTCACATATGGCCCTTCAGCTTCACTCTCTGGCCTCTTCTAGGTCATTAGTCAGGGCTTTCTCCCACAGAGTTTTCAAAGAAGCCACTTCATGTCGGCCTTTTCCAGCTCACACACATTACTTAGCTAATTTCTACTTAACCTAGCTGCTAGGTGTCTCTGCCTAAAGCTGTCCTCATTCCAAAGGGCCAAGCCCCTTCTCCCAAACCCCTGATCCCTGCTGGTCACTGGATCTGCTTGGATATTGTCTGTTGGCTCTCTTGCTACGGGACATCCTCCTCTTCAAATTGTCTCACTAATGTGCAAAACACCCCCCCCACACACACACACACAGAGAGAGAGAGAGAGAGAGAGAGAGAGAGAGAGAGAGAGAGAGAGAGAGAGACCCCTACAGTTGCCACCAGAATTTTGGTGTTTCCTGTCAGTCTGCCCATGTGTGATGTGGTTATAGATCTGTTGCCTGGGTGGTGCCGAGCAAGGGATGGCTATAATGAATCTGAGAATGAGTGAGTGAGATGTCACCAAGCCCTAATATTGCCCTTGCTTTTTGTCTCAACTGGGTCTTCTCAGCCACAAGCCTAGAAACTAGGGTAGGGAAGCTCATGAGGGCCAGGGTTTGTTGTGGGGACTTCTAGACTGGGCTGAATGAGACAATTCAAAATTAAACAGGTCAAATGTAGAGCTGGACAGGGCAAGGCAAGGTATGGTAAGGTGAGGATCCAAGTCACATCTCCATTAGTAGCCCTTATGAGCTTTATCTGTTATACTCTCCATCTAAGACAGGATGTCCTAACACCAGAGCCCTCCTAGGCTGGACCTGAGCACTTGGGAAGGAACCAGAGAGCTAAAAGGAACACCATACTAACCCCAGCAGCCACTAGGTGCCCTGCTTGCAGGTGCTGGGGAAGGGCACCTGGCTCTTATTGAGAAACACATCCCATAGGGCTTTTGAAGAGGAGCAGAAACTCCGGAAGCAGGAGATTGTAAGTCGAATCTTGAAAGAGGAAGCTGAGGAAGAACATAGGAAAAAGAGACAGCATCCACCCTCTAAAACCACAGACCAATGGACTCTGAGAGACAAGACTTGGAAGTATATCTCTGACTTTTGTGAAGGGAAGACTGCCATAGCCACAAATCACCTGCTGGTAAGTAGGACATTGCTGTTTTCAAGTTTAGGTCAGGCACTTCAAAGTGCAGGTGGGAAGGGCCAAGGACTCAAGTGTGAAGAAGCTGGCTAAGGTCCCCAAGGCCATGGCCCTGTGATGCCCACTAGGGTTCTTTTCTCCCTCATCCAAGCTCCTCATATTAGTCAACGGTGCTATTAGAGCCTACAAAGCTGCCTCTCTATGAGATAGGGGAAAGTTCCTCATCTGTCCCTTCCTACAAAGTGGAGTGAGCCTCATGTAAAGAGACTTGTATAGCTAGAGTCCGTACATGTTATCACTCACTGCCAAGTATTCCCAGTGCCTCCTGAAGGCTGAGTATTCCTCTCACTCACACCAAGGTCCTGGTCTAAGCCAGTGGCCTGTGTAGACAACACCCTAAACTGGAGAGATTTGTTTTCAACTTACCCCTCTTTAAGGTGTAAGAACATTGGATGCTCCTTAACCCAACACCCTGCATACTACATCAGCTGCTTTCTTGGGCTACCTGGGCTTTGGCCTCTGGAGCATTTACCTGTGCCTTTTAGTGCACCATAGGCTTTTTCCTGTTTCTCACCTCGGTGTACTAGGTGGAGCCTCTACCTTTCAGCTGCTTCTCATCTTGGTGCACCTGTCCTCCCCGGGGGACACGTTCTACATACTCCTGCATTCTCCCTCTGAGAGGCCTTCCCTGCCACCCTGAGTCACTTTCCTAATGCTCCTGTACCACAGCCTTAATCTGCTCTACTGGGAACAAATCCTCGGGTTTACAATGATCATCCTCTTTCCTCTGAGAGGAAGGAAGGGCCCTGGTTTCCCGTGGTGTACACTACAAACATCGTACGGCACAACCAGATACGTCCTGAACCCCAAAACAGTTCCAGCAAAACCAGTCCAGCTCTATTTTCTGAGTTTTTGCAAGACTTCTCCAGGGCTAGTGTGCCATCCATCATGAAAATTCAACACAATGAATATCACTGATGGAATACAGAGAAAATTATAACATGTCCACTAACCAGAACATTTTCCTATGAACAAGACCTTCTTGTGAACTCTGCTGAACACTTATAGGAAGGCATTCAGTAATCCATAGACATGTGTATGGTGTATTTTAAAGTTACAAGGATTTATGTGTATACAATTGGGGAGGCAGAGGTAGGCAGATCTCTGTGAGTTCAAGCCCAGCCTGGTCTGCAGAGTAAGTTCTAGGACAGCCAGGGCTACATAGAAAGACCATGTCTCAAAAAGGAGAAGAGAAAGGAGGAGGAGGAGGAGGAGGAGGAGGAGGAGGAGGAGGAGGAGGAGGAGGAGGAGGAGGAGGAGGACACCGACGACCGACGCCGCGGTGGGTTGTCAGGCCAAGTACCCAGTAAGGTTCCAAGGGGTTTTGTTTTCTTCATACTCACCTGTATAGTCTCCATTCTGTAATGAACATATCTTACTGCGTCACTCTTCTGATGGCAGGAAAATGAGATGGCACTACACCCCAAGCCTTCCTGTCTATTGAAAGTTGTATCCAGTGAGTCCATGCAGATGGACCTGGGAAGCATTAGTACTGAGGAGGAGATACTGGCTGAACCAGATATCCCTGGGCTTTGGAGCAAGGACTACAAGTCATACCAGGTAACAGCTTTCCTCTGTCAGGTCCTTCACACTGAGATTCCAGGTTCCTGGGTGCAATTGCCCACCTTCTGCTCCATTCTGTGCCTGCCACTGCTTCCTTCAAACTCTAGGTCCTTCTCTGTAGCAGGAATCTTAACAGGTCTCACCAGTTCCTCAGCTGGTCCTGTTTCCTCAGACTGGAAGCCTCTGTGTCCTCATATCCGAATGGCTCTCAGCTGTACTGTGCTGCTCAAAACCTAAAAGCTTAACCAGCCAAATGCTTAACCAGCCAAATGCTTAACCAGCCAAATGTTTCTAGTTTCTGGTCTTCACGCCTTAGATATCTTTCCTTTCTACCATCACTGCCTGAGATTAAAGTCTTGCTTTCTGGGATTAAAGGCGTGATTCACCATGCTTGTTGGCTGTATCCTTAAACAGATGGATTTCTGCCTCTGGAATGCTAGGATTAAAGGCATGTGCTACCACTGCCTATCCTAAGTATCTAGTGGCTTTTCTGTTCTCTGACCCCAGATAAGTTTATTAGGGTACACAATATTTTGGGGAACACAATACCACCACACTTCTCTCCTTTCCATTATCTTAAAAAGAACTGGCCTGTAGCCAGCCTTTCCTTGCTCTGCCAGGTTTGGCCCTGCACTTTGTTCATTATTAGGCTTTGAACAAGCATGGACCTCTGTCTTTTTGAACCCAAGGTGTCCAAGGAGGACATGGAACGGAAACCTGTGGGTGGAACTAAGATGGATAAGGACATCCTGGCCCGCACTATGGAGCAGCTGCGCAGTGGGGTGGTCCACAAGCAGGTGGTATCTGGGAGGGAGTTCAAAGGCCGCCCTTTCAACAGCAAGCCAGAGGTCATTCACTTCAAGGTGAGCCATGATCAAGCAAAGAAGCCTTTCATCTACTCTCTTGCCTCTGATGCATTCTGTTTTGACCTTGGGAAACCCAGAGATGTCTTCAGCTTTGAGGCTGGTGTGTGCAATGGCTGAATTGACAGCCTATGGAGCAGGAAGCACCTGGGCACTCCTTTAAAGAGGCCTGGACTCCTGTGAAGGAATATAACAGGATAATCACTTGTTAGTCCCCTTCTGCTTGGCAAATTCCCCCTTTTCATGATGGGGCCCCAAAGGACCCCAGCATCTACCACCAGCTGGGGTGTCAGCATTTACAGGACAGGCTAAGATATGTATCCTGTGCTTCTGTCCTTTCTCCCACCTAACCAATTCCCCACAAAACTCATTTCCTGCTGAGGAGGAAGTTTTTCACTACCTTTCACACATCTCAAGGAGGCATCACAACTCAAGGGAAACCTGGGGAATCCTTTTTTACCCCAGGATCCTTAACCTTTCATAAGTCTGTACCAAGGAAACCCCTCTTCCCCTGACCTGCTCTCGAGGCCTGCTGGAGGGCTTGAGGTTATCATGTCTCCTCTATCTCTGCAGGACTTTGATATTGGCAAAGTGTACAAGAAGAAGATCACGTTGATAAATGCTACCTACACAATCAACTACTGTAAGCTGGTGGGTGTGGAGGAGAGCCTGAAGGACTTCATCCACATTGAGTGAGTCTTGCAGAGTCTAGGCATGAGGCCATGGGCCAACTTGCCTTGAAGAGTTGGAGAGGTTACTGCTCCATCTCTTACTACTGAAGTCACGAAGACCCATCCAGTCCCTGTGAACACGCGACCAAGCTTTTGGACAAGCTGCCCGAGTCCCCTCGCATTCGTTGTGTGTTGGCTGTGACACTACCGTGGTTCCTTTGGCAGCTAGCATGCTTTCTCACTGTGAAGATTTCAAGACTGCTTTCCTGAACTATCGTTTACTTCTCTCTTGTGCTAGTGTTTCAGTTTTCTTCTTTTTTCTAAGAATCTTCTTGTGTATATATTGTCACTTCTGTGCCGGCGTTTTAAGTATTTTTCTGCGGTTACCTTTGATGCTTGCTGCTTCTCCTTTCCCATCCTACCCCCTCCATTTTTCACTTTGCAATGTTTCAGCAGCACTTGGTTTTGCTTCTTAGCATCTGACCTTCATCTTTCTTTTCTATTTTTTTTCCTTTTTGTTGTTTTTGAAACAAAGTCTTGCTCTGCATCCTAGGCTGACCTTGAACTCATCATATAGTCCAGGCTGGTCTCAAACCTTCAATCTTCCTGCCTCTGTTCCCAAATAGCTGACACTACAGGTATGTTTCACTGTATCCAGCTTATAGGCAGGGCTGTTCATAGCTCAAATCACCTACATCTGTTAGTGTGTGATATGCAATTTCTAAAATGGGGGCTTAATATAAATTGGTCCCTGACTCCTCTGCTCAGGCTCTAGGGGTCCTTTTCTTTTCCCCTGAAGGGTGTCTTCATGAGACTATTCCTGTGGGACTGTGTTCCTGTACAGTTTCTCCATGAACAACACTGGCTGGCAGAGCCCTGATCAGTACTTCCCCTTAAGAGGTGCTGTCCTCTTGGGAACTGACTGCAAGTAGACAGCAGGAGCTTTTGGTCCTCTGCTCCTTCTTCCTGGCAATTTGCAGAATCTCCTAGCTGTCTGCAAAGTCTTGCATGGAGGGAGTATTGCTAAAAATTGTTTATTTTACCCACTGTATTAGTTTGAGATCTGAGAGCTTCTCTCTTTTTTAACCATGCTGAGTCACTTGCTTCTGTGGGCCTGTAGGGTTTCTGGAGAGTGTATGGAGGACCCAGGTTAGCTGGTGATCACCATTACCTCAGCTATCACAAAGCCCTCCTTCCTAGGCATGGATTAAAGATTCTCCCCACATTTGAAGGCTAGCGTCCACTTCTGTCTTCTGGTTTCTTTTGCTGTGGTAGTTGTGACTCTCTAGCATGTTCCTCAGTTTCCTCTGGCTGCACTGAGATCCCTGGCCCCCAGTGTCCCACAGCCCTACTGCAGCATACCTGAGATGCTTGGTCTTCTTTAGACTCATTGTAGTTCTTAGAGCTGAGGTTTGTATCTTTGAGCAGTTCTAGAAATGTCTCATCCCTAGCCTGCAAATATCAGCTCTCCCTATTCAGTCCTCCTCATGGCTTTGTCTCTGCCCTGTTCCTCCTGTGTGGAACCATCCAAGCCTCCCTGCCCTTAGGGCACCTGCTTCACATTCTCTGCCTATTCAGGCAGTGTATGAGGTGCCCCGGCTTCTGGTCTCTTCAGCTGTATCTAGCTGGCTGCAAAAGCTGCTGACTGTGTGTCTTGTTTCAGTACTATGTTTTTCATTTCTAAAAATTCCTAGTTCTTTTTCAGATGAGGTAGCATATCTCTCTCTCTCTCTCTCTCTCTCTCTCTCTCTCTCTCTCTCTCTCTCTCTCTCTCTCTCTCTCTCTTTTAAGACAGGATTTCTTGTTTCTTTGTGTAGCCCTGGCTGTCCTGGAACTCACCCTGTAGACCAAGCTGGCCTTGAACTCACAGATCTGCCTGCCTCTGCCTCCCAAATGCTGGGATTAAATGCATGCACCACCACTGCCCAGCTGTAGTTTTTAAACTTATCGTTTCTTTTGGTCGTGTGTGTGTGTGTGTGTGTGTGTGTGTGTGTGTGTGTGTGTGTGTGTGTCCTTTTTCTTAACAGTGTCTTTTTCTTTCTTCCTGCCCATAACTCTGTATCTTTACAATTTTACCACATGCCTTTTAGAGGCTCCACTCGATCATACAAGTTTCAATAGTTTGTTGTGTGAAGTTCTTAGAGTTAGGGCCTGTTTCTCACTGAGTTGGTTCATGAACACCCCACATGTGCATAGCCTTGGATTCTGATCCTCTTACCACTTAGTCTCTAGGGAGAGAGTCCCCCAGGATATTCCTGTCTGTGCCTCTCCAGTGCTGTAATCACAAGCACATGTCACCACACCTGGCTCTTTTCTTGAGCTCTGGGGATTGAACCCTGGTCTTCATGCCTACATTGCAAGCAGTTTATTGACTGAAAAAGCTCCCCAGCACCCAGAGACACATTTTCATATTAAGTTTTTGTGTACTTCCAAACCAAGAAAATTATGTAAGATCCAACATTGTAAACCTAGGCCTGATACTAGGAATTCTGTAGGAAGACCCTTTCACTCACCCAGGATTCAGATCGAAACAGACTAGCTCCCATCTCATTTTCCTGCAGCTGGGGCTGTTTCACTGGATGGCTTGACTTATAGCCCTTCCCCTCATGTTGCTATTAGAACTCAACATCCTTGATCCAAGACCTAGCAATTATCCCCAGGGTAATGACATTCCACAGCACACATCTTTTTGGAGTTGGCTTTTGGGGATGTACCTCACTCAGTGTGCTGGCTCACTCACTGGACAGACATTTGAAAATTATCCAAGTGTCTCCTCTTCATCAGGAAATTGAGTCAGTAAGGAACACAGCAGCCCTGGAGCTGCTGATGTGCCAACACATCTAAGTAGAGGTATTATCTTAGCTAGGGCTGCTATTGCTAGTGGAAAACACAGTGACCAAAAGCAACTTGGGGAGGAAAGGGTTTATTTGGCTTATACTTCCACATCACAGTCCATCATTGAAGGAAGTCAGGACAGGAACTCAAACGGGACAGGAACCTGAAGGCACAAGCTAATGCAGAGGCCATGGAGAGGTGCTGCTTTACTGGCACCCTCCCACATCATCACTAATTAATAAAATACTGTACAGACTTGCCTATAGACAGATCTTATGCAGGCATTTTCTCAGCTGAGGTTCCTATCTCTCAAATGACTCTAGTCTATGTCATGTGGACACAAAACCAGCCAGCACAAGTGTGGAACAGGCAGAGATAAGGGGATCTAAAAGGCCCAGCTGAGTATGTAGTGAGCATCCACTTTGCACAGTGACTTAACTACTCATGTGCTGTTCCTGCAGCTTTGACCCCCCTGGTCCCATGTCAGCCGGGATGTCCTGTGAAGTTCTCGTCACCTTCAAGCCTATGGTACGTCAAAGGATCACATAGGGGTGCTATTTTTTCTGGCTTAACAACAACAACAATAAAATTCAGCATCATTCTATAATGCTAGCATAATAAAGCTTGCCAGAAGATTTGGTTTTATTCTTTTACATGACTAACTGTCCGTGGCCTGTGAAGTGTGTTTCTTCAGGACCTGTTTATGTGGGACACTTTGGGATTCTTCCACTGGAAGCCCACTAAGCAAGTAGTAGGCAGGTCCAGGCCATAGTTATACAGATGCAGCCTGTAGCCGGGCGGTGGTGGCGCACGCCTTTAATCCCAGCACTCGGGAGGCAGAGCCAGGCGGATCTCTGTGAGTTCGAGGCCAGCCTGGGCTACCAAGTGAGTTCCAGGACAGGACAGGCGCAAAGCTACACAGAGAAACCCTGTCTCCAACCAAAAAACCAAAAAAAAAAAACAAAAAACAGATGCAGCCTGTGGAACTGTATCATCATAGAAATTTATGGTGACTGGGATTGTTTTGTTTTTTAGATAAATAAAGATCTGGAAGGAAATGTTTCATTTTTGGCTCAGACGGGAGGCTTTTCTGTTCCACTTAAATGTTCAACGAAAAAATGTTCTGTAAGTTTAAGTCCCTGGAAACTCTCTCCATGGTATGGGCTGCACCCTTGGAGTACCAAGGGCATGGGCTAGAGCTCCACCATAAACCTTGGTCCAGTGACAGCTGTAGTCAGACTCCAACATGGGCCGAGTCTGGGTGACATGAGATATTCTGAAAAAGTGAGTCATCAGACCAGAGCTAGAAATTTCTAGATAAACCCTGCTCTGTATGGAGTCCCTGACTGAGAGGCCCAGAGTTCACAGGTGAGGAGATCTGTCTGAGATGCCAGTCCTTTCTTCAGCTCTTAGTTGTGTCCTCAGATAAATAAGTGTGTGTGTGTGTGTGTGTGTGTGTGTGTTTCAAGACAGGGTCTCATTATGTAGCTCTGGCTGTCATTGAACTAACTGTATAGACCAGAGTTTGTTAGCCTCAAACTCAGAGAAATGCACCTGCCTCTGCCTCCTGAGTGCTGGGATTAAAGATATATACCACTACACCCAGCTTTCAGATAATTTTTTAAAGATTTATTTATTTTATGTATATGAGTGCTCTATCTGCATGAACAACTTTATGTCAGAAGAGGGCATCAGATCCCACTATAGATGGTTATAAGCCACCATGTAGTTGTTAGGAATAGAACTCAGGACCTCTAGAAGAGCAGCCAGTGAGTGCTCTTAACCACCAAGCCATCTCTCCAGCCCCAGATATTTTTATTGTGAGTAAATTTGCAAACATAATGAAACACAGAATCATGCAGTGAACTTCCATGTACCTACTGTCTACCACTTCAGAGCAAATTACCAATATCAGATTCAGCACCCTTAAAAAATGTTGGCATTTCTAATAAACACCCACTATATCATTGTTTCTTTCCACAGTGACACTCACAGCACACAAACTCAGTACTGTGACAGACTGTAGTGTGTCTTTAGTCCCACATATACTTCTAAGCCTGTAGGTCCACTGTGAGCTGACTAACGTGGGCCCGGCCAGGCAGCTCTGCTCCAGACGTCTCACCATGGCCTTCTAAACCTTGTAGCCTCTAGAGAAGTGTCCATCTAGCATGAACTTCTCATGGAAAAATGACTGGAAATGCAGACATCCAAGCCAGCATTACCAGAAAATTTCTTCCTTCACTTATTTCGCATCTCCCATTGATTTATTGCCCAAACCAAGGCCCACGTACAAGTTCAAAATCAGTGGGGCAGAGAGAGACCTTTTCCAGTGTGATAGGTAGAACAAAGAGAATGGAGAATTGAGATAATAGTATATATGTTACACCAACAAACGAGCAGGATTCCTGGTTATCACCTAATACTCAATTCATATCAAATGTGTCCCACTGTCTCCAAACTACCTTTTTATGTAGCTGTTATTTTTTTTTTATGTCATGGAGATTACATTTGATTATTATTATATTGGTGAGTATGTTTTGACCTAGAAAAGCAGCTCCCTTTCCACTTTTGGGTCCTAAAACTTACTAAGCCAATTCTTTTATAAAAGAATGTCCTGAATTTGTATGACTGCTTCCTATTGTTGCATTTACTATGTCTCTCTGTCCCTGTGTTCTTTTAAATTAGATATAGCTTAAATTAGACTTAGGAATGATTTTCTTTTTGATGAAAGAAGGATTTACTCTGGCTCTGGTCTGGGGATCTGGTCCCTCAGGTTGGGGCAGTCATGGCTGCAGTTGACTGAGACAGTTGATCACATTGTATCCTTAGTCAGGAAGCAGAGAGTGATGATATTAGCTAAGGTCCCTTTGTCCTTTGCAAGAAGATAGCATTGCTTAAGAGTACTTGTTGCAGGGGCTGGAGAGATGGCTCAGAGGTTAAGAGCACTGGCTGTTCTTCCAGTGGTCCTGAGTTCAATTCCCAGCAACCACATGGTAGCTCACAACCATCTACAATGAGATCTGGTGCCCTCTTCTGGCCTGCAGGCTGAACACTCACTGTATACATAATAAATAAATAAATCTTTTTGTTTTGTTTTGTTTTTCGAGACAGGGTTTCTCTGTGTAGCTTTGTGCCTTTCCTGGGACTCACTTGGTAGTCCAGGCTGGCTTCGAACTCACAGAGATCCGCCTGACTCTGCCTCCCGAGTGCTGGGATTAAAGGCGTGCGCCACCACCGCCCGGCTATAAATAAATAAATCTTTAAAAAAAAAAAAAAAAGGAAAGAGTACTTGTTGCTCTTGTAGAGGACCCAGGTTCAATTCCCAGTACCTATGTGGCTGTTAATAGCCATCTGTAACTCCAGTTCCGGGGGATCCTATGTCTTCTTCTGACCTCCTCAGGCATGCATGTGGTACACATACAAAGATAAAGCACTCAAGCACATAAAATGAAATAATTAAAATTAAAAAGTAGTTATAAAAGATAGCTTTTATTGAGTGTGATCTTTGGTCCTTTCATACATGTGTAAAGTACGTTATGATTATTATAACTCCCTACCCTCTCTACTTTCCCTCCTATCTTTAATACTCTCACCTCCCTACAAGCTGGGAACCATTTTTAGGAAGCTGGTACTGTGTGCCTCTTGTGTCCCACACTCACTCCTACTGTTGTGACAAGTTACTGTCACAGACACTGAGATGCACCTATGCAAGAGTTTTTCTCAGGGCAGGCCTAGGATGGGCGCAAAACTAGCAAAAACTCTGTCTCAGCAGGGGAAAGGCAGCCTATGCTGGTCATCTGTAGCAGGCACAGGTGGCCTCTCTGGCCTGAATCTGAACTACTCTGTTTTATCCTTTGGTCTGCTTGCTTTGGTGACCCATTGTCATGCCTCTGGAGAAAGGCACTGCAGGGGGAGCCCTGGGTTTAGATTCAGTGTCCCAAAACAGTCATGTGAGAGATGGCCATTTGAGGAACCACAGTGATGCCCAGGCATGGCACTCATAGCTTGAGCACAGAGTCTGTGGCCTGTAGCCCATGGAGGGCATGAATGACATGATATGATCCCACATATATGTCTGCGTAAAGGTGTCAGATCCCTTGGAACTAGAATTATAGACAGTTGTGAGACACCATGTGGGTGCTGGGAACTGACCCTGGGTCCTTTGGAAGAGCAGCCAGTGCTCTTAACTGCTGAGCCATCTCTCCAGCCCCATCTGTGACTTCGTAAGTGGGCTGTGTCGCTGGTGTGCAGTGCACAGATGCTCATGGTTCCCCTACCTGCCTTGCCTCCCTGTGAAGCAGAAGAGTCAGGTTTCCCCTAGCTTCTTGGGACTGCATTTGACATTTGAGAGAGTAAACCTTCTCTTGTGGGACATTGGGTTCTCTGGGCCATGATTCCTGCAAGGACCTACTCCCTTTGTGACTGAGGATGCAATAGCGGCCACCCTGGCTTACACTTGTGTTCTTTGGCAGCTATCCCTTGACAAGGAACTCATTGACTTTGGCAGCTATGTGGTGGGGGAGACCACATCCCGGATCATCACATTGACCAATGTTGGGGGTCTGGGCACCAGATTCAAGTTTCTCCTTGATTCTGAGTTCTTTGAGATGGAAGAACACCAACCCGTCATGAAAATGGTGAGTGCACTGCCAGCTTCTGACCAGCAGCCATGCTATCTTGCCTGTCTGTGGTTCTGCTCAGTCAAGGATGGGGTGTTGTATGCACCCTACCAGCCATGCATACTATCTCATGTGTATACAAATAAGTGAGCAAATAAGACTGCCATCAAATTGAGAGGGGGGCGGGGAAAGGAAAATGTCAGAACAGACTCTTATTAGTGAGAATAAAAATGTTTGGCTCCAATGAGGACACATGCAGTCTGGCCTCAGGAGCAATGGCAGCAGAATGGGATTCCCCTTAAGGCATGTGGTACATATTGAGTAGGAGCATTGGGAGTCCAATCAGACAGCTCCATGAGACACCATGGATCTCTTTCCAGAGTATGAAAAGGGTCTTTGTTTTTCCCAAGAAGACTGTGCATGGGCCACGGTGAATGGCAACAGCCTCAGGGGTCCTACTCAGGAAATGAACTCACCATGCTCATGGATCGTGGGATCATTTGGGGAAGATGAACAAAAGGTGCACCATGCTTCTAAACTATTTGAACATTCTTGTGAGAAGCATGAAGCAATCGTGTTGGCTCTGTTCAGGTGCCCCAACAAAGACCCCAGAAAACATCTCACCCAGGAGATGGCAGGACCAACAGGGCAGCTATGACCAAGGCAGTATGGAGAGCAAGCTGCTGTGGGGGAGGGTGGGGCTCCTTTCTCTGGTCAGAACCAGAGAGCAGGGCAGGTGGAATGAGGGGACTGGGAGTCAGACTTGCTTTGGGTAGGTGGATGGGTTGCCTGGGGGTCCCGGGATATCTAGGAGTTCTGTCTGCAACCAGCTGTGGAGAAAGGAAAGTCAGCTCAACCAAGCTCAACACTTGCCCAAGCAGAGTCAGCCTCTGGGCAAGTGACCAAGTACAGTGTAAAGAGGGTAGACTCAGCTGCTCATAGGTGGGGTCTATGATGGGGCATCTAAGCTAGTGACAGAGAGGAGCCAGCTTGGCCAAGGTAAAATAGACAGTCATCCCTACCCTAGGTAAGCTGATGCTGTGGTCTGAAGACCCAGGATAGACAGAATGAGAGCATAGACCAGGGAGTAGAGGAATGGCAGCAGCCCTGGGCACAGATGCATTGTGTCTTCTCTTGGACTCATCTGGTGAGAAGGGTATCTGTGGAGTTTTATGGGCAATGAAGACACTGAGTTCCCTTTCAGAGCAGCGTCTTCACCTATGAGGACAAAAGTTTTTATGAGAAGATCATTAACAGTCTCTCTGAGCATCAGCTTGATGGTGATGGGTCCTCCCCACTTGACATCCCAAGCCGAAAAGAATCCGAGAAACTGGATGGTAAGAGTTGGGGAGACTTGTGAGTGGGTAGCAAGTACCTACTTCAAACTTCCTGCGTTGATTCCTGAGCCAGCCAGGACACTTGGCCTCAGCTGAGTAGGCCTAGAAGAGGGCCGGACACCCGGGCACCTGGACACCTGGGCACCTGGGCACCCGGGCCTCCCGAAGGTAGCCATTCAGGAACCACTCCCAGCACAGCCACCTTGGAATCTAAGGTCAACCAGAGAGCTAGCATCCCAGCTGGAGACTGGCAGGCCTGTGGCCTAGGTGATGTTAAGGAGGGTCAAGGTACAGAGTTTTTTCAGGCCTTCAACTGTATGATAGGAAATATAGAAAATACTCATACATACAAATATACACTGGTTATGGTGTACATTGAAATTCTATTTGTATTGAAACAAATAGAATTGTAGCTAGAGTTTTTTCCTCTGGGCTCCCACCAAGCCCCGGCAATCCCACAGCCGCTTATAAAATAAACACATAGACTCTTATATTATTTATAAACTGTGTGGCCGTGGCAGGCTTCTAGCTAGCTGTTCTTATATCTTAAATTAACCCATTTCTGTTAATCTATAAGTTGCCACGTGGCTCGTGGCTTACTGGTATCTTAACATCTTCTCATGGCAGCGGCTGGCAGCATCTCTTGCCTCAGCCTTCCACTTCCCAGAATTCTCTTTTCTCCTTGTCCCTCCTATACTTCCTGCCTGGCTACTGGCCAATCAGTGTTTTATTTATTAACCAATCAGAGCAACACATTTAACATACAGAACATCCCACAGCATAGAATCCCCAGATGTGGACAGCCAGGCTGGCCACATGGTGTACAGGGGTGAGGGCTTTGAAGGCTCTGCCTATGAACTGGTCTCTGCTGGTGCTGGTCTTTACCAGTACCACCAGGCTCTGAGGCTGAGGAGGGAGTTTGTTTTACACCAGCTGCATAGAAGTGCAGATGATACACAAGGACAATTTAAAAAACTGAACAATCCCCGTGTTGAATTGGAAAAACACGTGCCCTGTCAAGGCACTGACCCTTACTGTAGTGCGATACTCTCCACCCTGTGCACTGCCTTCAGTTGTTTTCACCATTTCCCTGTTTTCTTTTCTTTCTTTTTGTTGGTTTGTTTGCTTCATTTTTTTCAAAACAGAGTTTCTTTCTTTTTTTTTGGCTTTTAAATTTTGATTTATTAGCATATATTCATTTGTACTAATATAATATTAAAGGTATCATTATGACATTTTCATGTACACATGTCATGTACATTACCCATACTCTTTCTTTTTTTAATTTTTTTAAAATTTTATAATTTAATTTAATTTTACATATCAGCCATGGATTCCCCTGTCCTCCCCCCTCCAACCCCCTCCTCCCCTCAGCTCCCCCCCATTCCCATCTCCTCCAGGGCAAAGACTCCCCTGGGGATTCAGCTCAACCTGGTAGATTCAGTCCAGGCAGGTCCAGTCCCCTCCTCCCCAGAAATCCACAAAGATACCTCCACAATAGACTACTGGCAATGATCGAGAGCAAGTCCGAACTGACCTACTCTGGTGATAGGATGGCCAAACACCCTAACTGTTGTACTAGAAATCTCATCCAATGACTGAGGGAAGCGGATGCAAAGATCCACAGCCAGGCCCCAGGTGGAGCTCCAGGAGTCGAATTGGCGAGATAGAGGATGGATTGTATGAGCGAGAATTGTTGAGACCAAGATTGGAAATAGCACAGGGACAAATAGCAAAACGGAGTTTCTTTGTACAGCCCTGGCTGTCCTGGAACTCACACTGTAGATCAGGCTGACCTCGAACTCAGAGATCTGCCCACCTCTGCCTCCTGAGTGCTGGGATTAAAGGCTTGCACCACCACTGCCCAGATGTGTAGGTAGAGTTTTCCTGCCTGGCCCACAGTCAGGATAAATCTCTCTCACCTGCCAGTCCCACAGCCACTCAGACCCGACCAAGTAAACACAGAGACTTATACTGGTTACAAACTGTATGGCCGTGGCAGGCTTCTTGCTAACTGTTCTTACAGCTTAAATTAATCCATTTCTATTAATCTATACCTTGCCACATGGCTCGTGGCTTACCGGCATCTTCACATGCTGTTTCTCATCATGGCGGCTGGCAGTGTCTCTCTCACCCAGCTTCCTGTTCTCTCAATTCTCCTCTCTGTTAGTCCCGCCTATACTTCCTGCCTGGCCACTGACCAATAAGCGATTTATTCATTGACCAATCAGCAACACATTTGACATACAGACCATCCCACAGCACAGACGTAGTTTTTATTTTAAGATTTCCAAATTTACCATTTCTTTTGGTTGTGTGTGTGTGTGTGTGTGTGTGTGTGTGTGTGTGTGCGCGCGCGCGCGCGCGTGCCCTTTTTCCCTGTGCCAAGGTCATAAAAATGTGGGACATACATCTTACATTTAAAAATCAGCAGTTCATTTCAAATTTTAAAGAGTTTTGTTGAGAAGTTCCTTCCAAATTCTACTCATTGCAAGAAATTCTCACTTAAGCTTGAGAGAGCCACAAGCACTTAAAACCCATGAGTCTCCCACAGACCATCCTTAGCTTATCCAATCTCTGTCAGGAACTGGCATGTGTTCTTTCACTGGCCAGCCTGTAGCTGAATTACTTCTCCATGTTCTGTATGTGCAATGACACTACCATTGCAGACCAACTTCTTCTGAAGTGCCTTCACTAGTTTCTTTTTATCATTTTCATCAACAATCCTTTAGATGGTATGTGAGGGTCTTCCTGCCACCTCTCTGTTGAATCCTTATGTGGGTAGAATTCTCATTCCCTGTAAGAAGCAGTTCATCACCCTTACCTAGATCAGCAAAGGGTCAAAGAGTGGAGAACTGGATAGTAAATATACTTTATAGAAACTCTCTGCTGGCAGGTGGGCTATCAGGAAACAGAGCATGTGGCATCAAGGGAGAGGCAGCTGAATCCTCAGCAGTGGCTCATACAAATTAGCACAAAGCAGGGATTGAGTTTCAGTCTCTGTGAAGATAGCCTCTTGTTCTTGAAACTTTCACTACTATATTTTTGATCTGGGCAGAGGTGGTGAATACCTTTAATCCCATTACTCAGGAGGCAGAGGCAGGTGGATCTCTAAGTTTGAGGCAGCCTGGTCTACAGAGTGAGTTCCAGGACAGCCAGAGTTATACAGAGAAACTCTGTCTGAAAAACAAAACAAAAAATAAATGTTTGGATAAATGGGTTACTTGTGCCAGGAATCTATTGACTATCTGAGAGGAATGTACTTTAGGCTCTCTTTTTTAACCAGTTGAACAATTTATCCTATCTAATATACTTTCTTGTTTGTCATGAACTTAGATTAAGTCTTGAAGTCATGAATTGTGTGTTACCCAACTTTCTTTTTTTCAAAGTAATTGCTTGCATTGTGTTGATTCTTTGCATTTCTGGATACATTTTCAAATTAGTTAATTGGTTTCTACAAACACAAACACACACACACACACACACACATACACACACACTCAAAGTCAGACATGTTAGTATATCAATACATATCTATAATCCCAGCACCTGGAATTAGAGGCAAAGGATCAGGAATTCAAGACCATTGAGTTGAAGGCCAGCCTGAGTTATGCTAGACCTTGTCTTTTTTTTTTTTTTTTTTTTTGGTTTTTCAAGACAGTTTCTCTGTGTAGCTTTGGTGCCTGTCCTGGATCTCACTCTGTAGACCAGGCTGGCCTTGAACTCACAGAGATCTGCCTGGCTCTGCCTCCCCCAAGTACTGGGATTAAAGGTATGCACCACTACCGCCCAGCCAGACCTTGTCTTTAAAAAAAAAAAAAAAAAGACGAGGAGGAAAGCCTTTCATGAATGTGATTGGTATAGCTTTGAATATGTCATCAATTTAGAAATAATATCTTGACATATTGAGTCTTCAGCCCATAAGGATGATGACCCAATGAGTTGAGTCATCTTTATTTTTCCTTAGCAGTACCTCAGAGTTTGCGGTAAGTACTTCTTATACATTTTTCAGTTGGTTCAATCTGAAAATCTTAGACTTTTTTCCAAGACTGATTATTGATATAGTCTTATTTGTTTTCTAGAAGCAGAAGCTTCAGCTGTGGCCAGTGCCATGACCATGGTTCCTAGCGAGGAGCAGGCAGAGATAACCCTGGGGGAGGTTAGTCCACCTGCCCTGCTAAACCTTGGCTTCTTCTAGCCAGGAGGCAGCTCATCCTCCTCTGGCCCTAGTCAATACTCTTAGGGGGCTCTTTCATCTGTCCAGAGCCAGACTAAACCCACAGTCTCCAGGCACCTGTGGTCTCAACTAGTACCAAGGTATCCCCTCCCCATGTTGAGAGTAGGTAGGACCAGAGTAGCAGGGTCAAATTCATATGTGTGGTCCAGCTTAGAGAGGGCAACAACAACCTCCCTAGCTGAAATGTGTGTGTTCACACAAACTGGAGGAGGAAGATGAAGAGAAAGGTTCAGGCTACCTTTCTTGCCCCAGTCTAAATGGACTGTGGGCCTTAGAATCAGGAATGGGATCTTTGAAACTCCAGGGGCTTAGAAGTAGAGTAGGGTGGTGGGGACTTGTATATCCTATACACAAGATAGAAAATGCAGCCAGCTCCTACCAAGCTCTTCTGGCATCTAAAGCTGGTAAAAAGAGCCTGGCCTCTGTGGTGGGGTAAGGGTCTGTGGAATGCACACAGGTGGCTCACTGCTTGAATGAGCCCTCTAAGTCCCACTCTGTTGGGACTCCATAGCAGTAAACATTCAAGAGCATGTCAGCCTTAGAACTAATACCTGCATGTGACCAAATGGACATCCCAAGGACATGGTTCTACCTCCCACCCATCCTTGCAGTGGTAGCAAGAATAAGGGCTAGTGGGAAATTCCCTAAGAAAAACCATGATGCCTGTGTTCTGACCCCATGGCCCTCTTCTTCTTGCACAGGTAACAGAGGGAGAAATTGGCCCCTTCAGTTCCATCAAAGTACCTATTATCTTCAACCCAGTTATCCCAGGAGAAGTCCAGACTAAGTTCAAGGTTATGTTTAAAAATTCACAGTGTCCAACGGTGAGTATCCCGGCTGCCACTTGATATGACTGATCCCCACCACAGCCACATCAGACAGCTACCCTAGGTGCCAGGAGGTTTCCATTTGCTCATGCTTAAACCATTAGTGGGTAGCACAAATGGTTGACACCTTAGGTAATAAACACACGTGCACAAGAGTCTTTAGATGCTCCTGGACAAACAGCTTTTTTCTCTTCTCTCTCCCCACCCCTGGCCTTTTTTATAGTGTTGGAGATAAAACTTAGAACCTTGAGCAAGCAGTCTACCAATGAGCTTCACTTTAAGCTCTAGTCCATGCTCTTTTTTTTTGTAAGTTTTGGATGTGTTTGGTGTACATGCCTATGTATAAGTATTCATGTGTGTGGACATACATATGTGTACAAATGTGCATGTGTGCTTGCATATATAGGCCAGAGGTTGACACTGGGCATCTTCCTTGATCACTGTGTACTTTATACATTGAGGCAAGGACCCTCATTTGAACCAGAGCTCACTGATTCAGGTAGAATAGCTAGTCAGTTTGCTCAAGAAATCTCTTGTCTCTTTCTGTGTCCTAGGATTACAGGAGGGCCACTGTGCCCACGGGGCTTTTTTTTTTTCCCTAAAATAGGGTTTCTCTGTGTAGTCTTGGCTGTCCGAGAACTCACTCTTTAGACTAGGCTGGCCCACTGGACTTTATGTGAGTGCTGGGAACCCAAATTCTGGTGCTGATGCTTACACAGCAAGTACTTTTTCCTGTTAAGCTGTCTGCCCAGCTCCCCAACCCCAACTCTTAATTATTAGAAATATCATTCTTAGTTTATAAATTTATAAATTTATTAAATTATGACCAGATAATATGATCACTTGGTGAATGTGAATTTCCCAAGGATAGTAAAGAAGCATTCTCAGGGGCTGGAGACATGGCTTGGTGTTTTAAAACATTGGCTATTCTTGCAGAGGACCCAGGTTTGATTCCCAGCTGCCCACGTGCTTCACAACTATTTGTAACTCCAGTTCCAGGGTATCTGACTCCCTCTTCTGGCCTCCATAGGCAATGCTGCACATGGTGTACAGACATATATGCATGCAGGCAAAACACTCATGCACATAAAATAAAAATCAATAATTAAGCCGGGCAGTGGTAACACATGGAAGACACAGGCAGGTGGATCTCTGTGAGTTCAAGGCCAGCCTGATCTACAGAGTGAGTTCCAGGACAGCCAAGGATACACAGAGAAACCCTGTTTTGTTTTGTTTTTTAATATTTATTTACTATGTATACAGAGTTCTGTCTGCATGTATGCCTGCATACCTGAAGAGGGCATCAGATCTCATTATAGATGGTTGTGAGCCACCATGTGGTTGCTGGGAATTCAACTCGAAACCTCTGGAAGAACAGGAAGTGCTTTTCTTTTTTAATTTTAATTTTATTTAATTAACATTTTTTCATTTATTTTACATACGAACCACAGTTTCCCCTCCTTCCTCTCCTCCTGTTCCCCATCAATGTCTGTAACTCCAGTTCAAAGGTATCCAGCACACGCACATAGACACACATACAGGTAAGACACCAATGCACATAAAGTAAAATTAAATCAATTATTAAAACAAACAGAACCATTCTCCTTTGAAGTGGAAAAACAAGACAGCTCAAAGAGTGATTTGAACAATCCAGCTTGTCAAGTGTGGATGATTTTTATTAAGGGTTACCTACAGAGTGGTGGTAACTCAAAGCAGTTACTCTACTCAAGTCCTACTACCTCTGAATCATGTTTGTCTTTTATCTATATGCAACAGGCCATTGGGGATGTTAATTAAATCACCTGAACATTAGTAGTTTTTGAATGACCCTCCCCCTAAGCCAGGAGAAATGCTAAGAGTATCAATGTCCATCACCCCAGCAGTTTGATATATAATTTGTGTATGTTCTTACCTCAACTGCTGGCCAGGGTCTTCTGTCCGAAATAAGGACAGTTGTGTCAGAGTGTCAGGCCAGAAAACCAGTAATCTGTTTTTTGTTTTGTTTTGTTTTTCAAGACAGGGTTTCTCTGTGTAACAGCCCTAGCTGTCCTGGAACTCCCTTTGTAGACCAGGCTGGTCTCCAACCCAGAGATCTGCCTGCCTCTGCCTCTCGAGTGCTGGGATTAAAGGCGTGTGCCACCACGCCTAGCCTGTCTTTTTTTATATTAAAACATTAAAATTGTTTAAAGTTTTCTTTGTGACCAGAGGCAAGATTTATCTTTTTTTTTTAATGGTTTTTTCAAGACAGGGTTTCTCTGTGTAGCTTTGGAACCTATCCTGGAACTCACTCTGTAGACCAGGCTGGCCTCGAACTCCCAGAGATCCATCTGGCTCTGCCTCCTCAGTGCTGGGATTAAAGGCATGCACCACCACGACCAGCGTCAAGGTTTATTTTGAAATGATGAGTAGCTGTGAGAAAGGTATCTTTGCTTTGAAGCTGTAAACAAATTTAGTACCAGGGTTACTTCCCTCCTGTTCGTTCTGTGATATCTATCTTCCTTTCTGATTATGTTTTACATTTCTAGATGTCAAGCGTTATAGAGCAGCTTTGCTGATTGGTGTGTGAGGGACGACATGCTTCTTCAGTTTAAGTTGTGCCTTTCACCAAAACCAAGCATCCTTTATCCTCCATTCTGTAGTCATTTTTTGTTCTGTCTCCTTCTTTGGCTTTTTCTTTGTTGGAGGGGAGGTTGTTGGTTTTTGTTGTTGTTTTGAGAAATAGGTCTCCCCATATATCTAGTCCAGGCTGACCTTGAACTGGAGACTTTACAGCCTTTTCTTCCTGAAGGGTTGATTATAGGCTTGTCCCACAGTGCTTCAATCTCTTTTCAGGAGCTAGGCTTTGTCTGTCAACCCAGAAATATTTTCTTTCCTGGGAGAACTCTGGATATTCACAAAGCAAAAAAATTGTTGTATTTTGTCTTATTCCTTTCACCATAGGTTGTGTTCATTTATTTTACAATGGTATTACCTGTTTTCAGTTTTCTTGTTCTCATTAATCTTCTCAAGTTAACTACTACCTTATTTTTCCCCATGGTACTTGAAAAACTCATTTTTTTGACATATCTTCCTCCGTCCTGGCCTCACAATTCCACCACATTTCTTTTTCATGTAGAAAGAGAAAGGTCCTTCAAGACTCCCATCTCCCAGGAACACACCCCAACACCTCTTGACAACCAAAGCAGAACGCAATTTCTGTATCTCTCTCGTCTTCCCCTGCATCATCCTTGGCACCTATATTTACTCAGCTATCATCAGAATTATGAGAACTTTCCCCCTGCTATGATTATTTTTATTCATTACTCACAGTTTAAGGGCAGAATGCAATCACTGCTGGTCTAGATTGGATCATCCGGTGTTTTGTGCTCAGCACCACCTGTCTCCACTCTACCGGGGACTCTGCTTTGACATGTTTCCTCGAATCACTTTGGAATGACCAGAAACAGGTAGTATATAAACTGTGGGTAATTCAAGATAGGAATAATTACTTATAACATAACCCACAAGAATCTATGTAAGGCCCAGATACATGACTATACAAGTCTCATAACAACCCATAGTGCCAACAGCATCCACAATATGAATGGTGTTTGTCTTAGTTGGGGATTCTATTGCTGCAATAAAACACCGTGACCAAAAGGCCAGTTGCGGAGGAAAGGGTCTATTTGGCTTACACTTCCATATAACTGTTCTTCATCCAAGGCAGGGCAGGAACTCAAACAGAGCAGGAACCTAGAAGTAAGAGCTGATGCAGAGGCCATGGATGGAGTGCTGCTTACTGGCTTGCTTCCCATGACTTGCTCAGACTGCTTTCTTATAGAACCCAGGACCACCAGCCCAGGGATGGCACCACCCACCATGGGCTGGGCCCTCCCCCATCAATCACTAATTAAGAAAATGCCCTATAGGCTTGCCTACAGCCGGATCTTCTGGAGGCATTTTCTTAATCGAGGCTCCTTCCTCTCAGATGACTTCAGCTTGTGTTGACATAAAACTCTCCAGCACAGTATTCAAGAGCATACAGTTTCACAGTGCCCACAGTACTCATAATTCCTGTAGTTCCCACAGTACCCACAGATCCCACAGTCTCCACAGGAATTACTTTTATTATCACTGTAGCCAGATACCTGCCTGACAAGAAGCAACTTCAGGGAGGGGATTATTTTGGCTCCTAGTTTGAGGGTACACTCCGCTGTGCTAGGGAAGGTGTGGTGGCAGAAATGTGAAGTTCCTGGTCACATTGTAGTCAGAAAACAGGACGAATGCTAGTATTCAGCTGGCTTCTCCATTTCTCTCTTTCACTCAGTCTGGGACTGTAGTCCATGGGTCAGTCCATCTCTAGTTAGGTGGGTCCTCCCTCCTCAGCTAAACATCTCTGGGAACAACATCAAAGACACACCCAGAGACATGTTCTTTAGGTGATTCTGAGTCTAGTCATGTTGACAATGAAGAATGACTATCATACCACGTTTTCCACAAACTCTGCCCACAGACCCCAAGTTCCCACAATACTCACAGTTTCCATGATAACCCATTTCCACAGACCACACTGACCACATTTCCATTAATACATAATGGAGGAAGCCAGGCCAGAACTGTGAAATCATTAGGTTCAATGTATCTGTTTCACAGGTTGATGACCTGTTTAAAGGGAAGTGGACCCAGGAATCAACTCCTATCCTTAGCTTCCTTCATTCCTTTAACTTTCCCTTGACAGAGTTCGCCCTGCCAGCCTCCCATCCTACCTACTGTCCCATGGTTGTACATTGAACCATTCCTGGCTCTGAAAAACCATGGGACCAGCCAGTCCTGTACTCCCTGCCCTCAGTGGTTGAGTCCGATCCCTCCCAATGACAAAGTAGATAACAGGCTTTTTGGAGAACTCTTGCTGTGCAAATGAAAATGCAGCATTCACTGGATGTGCCTCAACAATGCCACTAACAACAATAAAAAGACTGACCTGAAGATTTAAAAATGTAAAATAACAAAATAATAGAAATAAATTAGATAACCTCCAAGAGGAGGAGGAGAGAGAGAAGGCTCCATCCATCCTAGCTGGACCACCTGAGGACTGGGACTTCCCTTTGTTTTTTGAGACTCCTAGAACTTGCCTTCTTTGTCATCTGTGTCTGTCCTCCAGATCTAAGCTCTCCATCAGGTCCTGGTCCCTGCTTTAATAGCTGCTAATAATAGGTGCCCAGCCACCTTAGCCGCTCAGCCAGCCTGTGCAGGCTGAGACCAATGTTGTGCTAACCTGAACAGCTCCTCACATTCTAAATGTTGACGCTGTCCTCCTGCCTCCTCCACAGAAGAATGTTGCTGGAATGTTTTCTAATTTTGTCTCTGATCCAGAAATAGATTGCATTTTTGGTGATACTGTGGCCTCAGACTTGATAATTGGAACATTTTAAATGGTACAAGTCCATTAGCCTATGGAAAAGGAAACCTCCTACTAGGCCAACTCACCCTATTGACAATCTAGAGGGCATAGTCCTCTATCCCAGGCTGAGTTCTTTAGTCCATGTAGATTTTCAGAGGTCTCCACTCAACCCATAGCACCAGAACAGTACCTACCACCCAGTAGACTTCACCCTTATACCAGGCTTCCTTTAGTTCCAAGTCCTGACATCCCTCCAGGCCCCCACCTACTCACCTTACCCAACCAATCAGACCTGAGGAGTCAGAGTGAGGAGAACCAGCAGATGGGGACAAAGATATGTTTACCACCCCTTTCCCAGATCCCTGCGAAACTACTGAATTCTGTAGCTTCCAGTTTGTGTTCTCTGTGGCAGTTTTACACATAATGCATAAAACTTTTCTGTATAATGCATTATTGTGCAATCAAGGATTTTGAGTTGTTTTGGTTGTGCTGGGAATCAAACCCAGGGCTCTGAACATGCGAGGCAAACCCTGGTGAGCTGCATCACTGACCCAAGTCTTCAAGCAATTAAAAATCTTGATAACTTTAAAGTGGATGTGAAATACATGGCCATTTAGTATTGAATTACATATTTTATGTTTATAACTGTTGATAATAAAAGACATTTTAAGCTGGACAGTGGTGGCGCATGCCTTTAATCCCAGCACTCTGAAGGCAGAGACAGGCAGATCTCTGAGTTCAAGGCCAGCCTGGTCTACAGAGTGAGTTCTAGGACAGCCAGGACTACACAGAGAAACCCTGTCTCAAAAGGAGTTCCATAGGAAATAACTGTAATTTCGTTTTAGAATGAGTGAGTTTGTTAAGTGTAGGTGTAAGGGTCTTATTAAATAAGAAACATAGAGCTAAATGCAGAGTTAAAAGCCCAAGAGGTCAGAGCAGTAGCTAAGAGCTGATACTAAAAAACCTTTCTTACCCTTCCTGCTGCTGTCAGAAAGAGACCTACTTCCTGTGTGTCTGTCTTTTTATTGACTTTCTATTCTGCCTTCTCATTGGTTGTAAACACAACCACATGACCTCCTCACCACTGCCTGTCTATACAGACCTCCAGGTCTTCTATGGTTGGTATTGAGATTAAAGGCATGTGTCTCCATGCTGGCTGTATCCTTGAACACACAGAGATCTGTCTGTCATGTGATCAGGATTAAAGGCATGCGCCACCACCGCCTGGCTTCTGCTATGGCTTGCTATTAGCTCTGACCCCCAGGCAACTTTATTTATTAACATACAAATAAAATCACATTTCAGTACAAATGAAATATCACCATAGTTAAGTGTGTAGCAAGCAGAAGTAAAAGAATAAAACAGCAAGCAACAGAAAGATAGTAGAGCATCAAATTAGACACTCAGACTGTCCAGCAGAAACTGACGGGAAACACTGGGAACCAAATGCACCATCTGGAGTCACCGATGAGCAAAGACGGTCCCAGACAGAACGTCTTCTCCTGGGTGTCATTTTGAATTTGTCATTTTCCCACCACGGACATTTTTGTACCACAGGGTATCTGAATCTTTTACTTTGGGAGGATGAGTGGGAATAATTTATCTCCCGGATGTTTGTACTCAGATGCTGTGCTCTCCTCCTGTTGTCAATGGCATTTTCTCCACTGGACTGCTTTTTCCGTTCTCCATTCTCCTTCTCGTGGGGATGGGGTGGGGAGCATCCCATCCCTAAAGAAGGGGTCTTACAGAAGACTGTAAGACAAACATGCTTGGATCTGAAGTGATTGAGAGGCCAACCCACATCCAGAGCCATCTTCTCAGTCTGTTTTTACTGACCAGCTTTGGACTTGATGTTACCTCTCTGCTGTTATTTGTTCTTTTACTTGGAGCCTCACCAAAGTGACACTCTGCCCCCACCCCAGACTCTCTCCGTGGAAACTCCTGCTAACTGATTCAACAGATCTCACCAGTTGATTTCTGCTGGATAATGTTTTTTTTTTTTTTGAGACGGGGTCTCTATAGCCCTGGTTGTTTTGGATCTCAACCAGAATGCCCTCAAATTCACAGAGATCTGCTTGCCTCTGCCTCTGCCTCCCAAGTGATGAGATTAAAGATGTGCACCACCACACTCTAAATCTGCTCGATATTTTGAGCACCAAATTTGGTAATGTTTTACTACCAATCTATCTATGGATCAATCTGCCTTTTACCTCAGCTTACTATACATTTAATAAACTCATTCAAAACCCAAAGTATGACTATTATAATTCATTCTCTGGATCCTACAGAATCGGATAATCACATGAAAAATATCACAAGATTCTTCAACACATGTCTTGATTATTAACCTCAATACTTGTAATACAGTAAGTTAAAAAAAAATCAAACCATGAAACCTTTTGCTAAGTATTGTGTTAACACTCACTGGTATCTCCTACATTGCAGAGTAAACACATGTTGAGTTTACATGTTCCACTTCAGTTATATTTCAGAGCCACTGGTATTGCTGTAGATGTGCCGGTCTGGGTACCAAGGGCCACTGTGGACCTGAAGATCTGCATGTATGACCGACTCTACCAGGACTCTATCACTGTCCACACCAGGTGAGCCTTTGGTGGGCAGCAAGAGTGTCATGCCTGGAGCTGGATACACACTGGCTCTGAATTGTCACCTTAGGTAACAGAGGACTGGGCAGTTAATTAGGCTATGGACCTTGAAGAAAGTGATCCTGAATATCCAGGATGTCCCAGGGTTGTGGAGGCATTGTCAAGGAATCTGGGAAAGTCAAGGACAGAGACAGAACTGAAGACAGGAAGGGACCACAACTATGGAAAGCCAAACATCTAAAAGTGCAAGAAATGGACTTTCCCCTGCAGTCTTCACAAGGAACCAGCCCTGCCTACATCTTAACCTTCAGTCTAGTTAGACCCACTTTGGCCTTATGTCCTCCATGACGCTCAGAGAGTTACTTTATAATGTGTTAGGTCGGAGTTTGTGGAAAGTATTTCAGCAGCCATAACACACTTGCTGTATGCCTGGGTTACTAAGCAAGGGTCTAAGTGCCCTCAAGAATATAGAACATAGCAAATAGACAAAGTCCAACAAAAGAAGTGTATTTATTTGTATTGTTTTACAAAGACATCAGATTTTTGATTAAAAGTATTTTCCTTGAAGTACAACCTGATATAGGAGCATCCAGGTTTCATGACTTCACCAGCTTTGAACTACTAGTCCCCAGACCAAAAAAGCAGGTGCTGTTTGTATCAAACCCCTTTCCCTACCCCATCATCACACATGACCTGGAAGAACAATACTCCCATGACATGGTTTCCACCAGACTTTGTCTTGCTCCATGAAGGTGCAGTTAGTAGATGTCCCCAAACTCCTTCCTGGGAACCAGAGAGCTATAAGAGCACTGTCAAAAGTCAGGGGGAAACCTGTTGAATGAAGGAATGTGGGGCTTGGAAGAAGGGTTTGTTGTACTTATTTGGAAGAATGAGTTGAACAGAGTTTTGGGTAGGTATTAAGCGCTTCCTGGCTATGTAGGGAAGGAATTTTATCATTCTTACCCAAAGCACCCAGCTGTCAGTATAAATGTGTTCAGTAATCTTTAAACCTAGTATCATGTGTAGCTTTGTGTGGGTTTACCTGCATGAGTGTAGAAAGGTGTTGATTTATGAAGACCATTTGTTGTGTGTGCCCAAGAACCAATGTTGGTCACTGTTTTCAAACAGTGGAACTGACTTGCACCTCAAGTGACTGCTTTCCATGGTATTCTGGGTCTCTAGCAGCAGAAGTTCAGGGCCCTGGTCAGCTATAGTGTTGGATACACACTGTAGGGCTCAGAGGCAGGCAAGAGGTCACCACAACTCTGGTAACCATCTGGGCTCTGGTAATCATCCACAGAGCAGGAGAAAGGAGAGAGGTTTTTCCCTCTATGTCCACTTAGTTCTTCCTTATAGATGCTCCCAGAGGTATCTATGCACTTGTGGGCCCTCCCTGAAGATCTGGCTACTTCGCTCAGTGTCCCTCATAACATTAGGGTCCACGGCATGACTTTATTGTTCCATCTCTGGATCGCTATGGACTCAGCTCTCAGGGCCATATTTGAGCAGAGGTCTAGAAGACCATGGGCTGCAAAGCATAATCAGCCACAGGACATACAAGGATCATTCTAGAAGGCTCTTGAAGGTTCTAGGACTATTGCCAATTATCCCCAGGCAAACCAGGGAAGAGTTTCCTGGGCCTCCCTCTCCAAGTTACCTTTTCTTCCTTTGGTTAAGACATAATTCTTCCTATGGGAACAAAAGGAGACTCCCATAGGGAGCAAGCCAGGGCTGTCCTCCAGAGCTGCCTTAGAAGGGGATTTGGCCACTGCCACTGCCTTTGACAGATACCTCATTTCAGGCAAGGGAGAGGAAAACTTCTTTTGGACATAGGAAGACACAGGTAGGCTCTAGTAACTGGATATAGACATGTCTGTTCTTCCTCTGTCTGGTTCTGAGTTATAAACTTGTGTCAGTAGCTAACACCTAACCATCCAGGGCCTCCCAAACTTCCTGTAAAGAATCCTGGGTAGGAAGAAGCAGGAACCCCTAGGGAGAAGGCGTCCTTCACAAGCCTTCCAGGCCCTGCACTAAGTATCAGCCTGCAATACTTCTTCCCATTAAGCACTCTAGTCTCTGAGAACTGATTTGGGCATATTTCAACACAAATTTTTATTATTTTTATTTTAAACTTTTTTTTTTCAAAAGCTGGGTGTGTTGGCACATGGCTCTAAACTCAGCACTCAGGAGGCTGAGGCAGGACAGCTGAGTTATATAGTTCAGCCTGGGCTATATCGTGAGACCCTGTCTTAAAAAAAAAATCAGGATCAGCAAAATGACTCATCAGAAAGGCACTCACTGTTAAAGCCTGAAACCTGAGTTCGATCCCCAGAACCCACAAAAACACAGGCAAGAAACAATTCTGCAAAGTTCTCCTCTAGTCTCCACACATGCAAAGCGCTCCTGTGCATGTTTGAGTGTGCACATGCACTTGGGTGTGCACTCATGCTTGTACACATGCGTGTGTGAGCACACACACACACACACACACACACACACACACACCAAGCATAAGTACCCAACAATAGTAATTTTTGTTTTAAAAATTTTTTATTTCAGCCAGGTATAGTGGCAAGTGCCTTTAAAATCCCAGCACCTTGGAGGCAGAGGTAGGAGGATCTCTGTGAGTTTGAGGCCAGCCTGGTCTATATCCAGGATAGCCAGGACTATATAGAGAGATTATTATTATATTTCATTTTATTTTATGTCTGACTTCTTTGCCTGGTTATATGTATGTGTACCACGTGCATGCTTGGTGCCCACAGAGGTCAAAAGAGGGCATCAGATCACCTGGAACTAGAGTTACAGATAGTGGTAAGACACCATTGAGGACTGGATCCTCTGCAAAAGCAACAAGTGCTCTTAACCACAGAGCCATCTTTCCAGCCCCCAATAATAATTTTTTTAAAAATGTAATCAATTTCATTTCAGAACAAACATCCCTTCAGAAGCAGCATTGACGCTGCTTTCTAACCATCAGTATGCGATGCTTGGCTCAGAGTAACATGTCTGCTGCATATTGCACACTGGCTCTATCATTAGAAATACCTTAATCAGTCAAAGGATTAGGCATGCAAAGCCACCTGTGACCTCTTGCAGATCAAAAGCAGCCCTGCGCCTGAAGTTTGAAGTCTGCAAGGAGCTGAGAGGCCACATAGAGCTTTTGCCAGAAACTGGCTACATCCAGGCCCAGTCCTCCTATTCAGTACAGCTCAAGTTCCTGCCTCGGTGAGAACCGGGAAAGGCCTGGAGCATGATGGGAGGGGGTGGGATCCATGGGTGCCTTGTGCTGATCACTCTGCTTGACACACACATCCAGGATGTACCATCTGCCAAGATAAGAACACACTGATCCTCCCAGCGCGGACCCTGCCATCACTTCTGCTCAGACACAGTGAGCACCTTGCTCTTGTGAGATCTCTTCCTGTCACTCCCTGAGGTTCACTGTCAGCTTGTAGCATACACTTGAAGCTTGTTTCTTTACCTTCATCCCAAAGCTCTGTAAGGTGTGCCTGTCACTCAGTTCTCCCTGCATCCTCCCTGTTCCAAAGCCCTTCTGTTCTTGCCCCTGGGGTACCTGCACTGCAGGTGTTGCAGACTGTTTTGGTATGTGGTATGTCCTTTGGCTTCTGCCTTTCCTAGGATGGACTTTGAATAATTCACTTCAGCTTTTCTGGTGCTTTGGCAACCAAAAGTACTGATTTTCACTTCAGCAGCTCTGTTTCCCTTAGTGACCCTTGGTTCCTGCTACTGAACCTATCTATTTTCCAAGCTAAGATCTAGACCCTGGGCTGTCAGCAGAGTTTGGACCACAGAAATAGGTGTAGCAGGCTGAGGAGTGTGGTGGCTGTGGCTCTGCCTCCAGGCCTCAGCACTCAGGGTATCAAAGAGGAGCTGAAACGGGTTTTTAAGATCTGACCTGCTTCATGGTAAAGGGGAACTCTTTTCTTTGTACTTTTTAAAAATTATTGTTATTATTTTGGAGACAGGGTTTCTCTGTGTAGCTCTGTGTAGCTTTGCGCCTTTCCCGGAACTCACTCTGTAGTCCAGGCTGGCCTCGAACTCGCAGAGATCCGCCTGACTCTGCCTCCTGAGTGCTGGGATTAAAGGCCTGCACCACCACCGCCCGGCTTCTTCGTACTTTTTTTTTTTTTAAGATTTATTTATTTATTATGTATACAGCATGTATGACTGCAGGTCAGAAGAGGGCGTCAGATCTCGTTACTGATGGTTGTAAGCCACCATGTGGTTGCTGGAAATTGAACTCAGGACCTCTGGAGGAGCAGTCAGTGCTCTTAACCTCTGAGCCATCTCTCCAGCCCCTTCTTTGTACTTTTTAAAAGATATTTCTATAATGAGACTAATTCTTTTGTGATCAGAGTCATGCCATGTAGCCTAGCCTGGCCTACCTTATGATTTTCTGGCCTATTACATGTGTATAGCACCCAACCCAACAAAAGTAAACTTTTTTTCTTTTTCAGTACTGGGGATGGGACCCAGGGCCTTGTGCTCTACCACTGAGCAACCTGCTTTTAGACTGATTTTTCAAAAATTTTTAGGATTCCTTCAAGTGATAGACTTATCATTTTATTGATTTTTGTCTTCAAAATTATTATTTTGGACTGTTGCTGAAAGTTTTTCTGTGTCCAGCCCGATCTTCAGCTGCTCAAACCCAAGTAAACACACAGAGGCTTATATTAATTAAAACTGCTCAGTCATTAGCTCAGGCCTACCACTGTCTAGCTCTTACACTTAAACTCAGCCCATTTCTGTTCATCTATATGTCACCATGTGTTCCACGTCGTTCCGTGGCTTTACCTGTGTGCCATGACATGCTGTTCCCTGGATAGCTGGCTGGCATCTCCTGACTCAGCCTTCCTCTTCCCAGAATTCTCCTTGTCTGCTTATCCTGCCTATACTTCCTGCCTGGCTACTGGCCAATCAGCGTTTAATTAAACCAGTGCACAAAAGCGTTCTCCACAGCACTGGACTAAAGAGATGCTCAGCAGGTAAAGGCCACCAAGCCTGACAACCTGAGCTCACTCACCAGAATCCATATGGTGGGGGAGAACAAACTCCAACTCCTGCAAGTTATCCTCCGACCTCATGTGTGAACAGTGATATGTGTATTCCTCAAAACAAACACATTTTTAATTTTATTGTAGAATTACAATTGCATACATTCATGACATAAAATGTGATGTCTTCACACACACACATACACACACACACACACACACACACACAATATAGCATAATTAAACCAAGGTTTTTGCTTTTGGTTTTTAGTTTTTTTGAGACAGGGTCTCACTATGGAGACCAAGCTCACAGAGAACCACCTGCCTCTTCCACTGAAGTGCCGCAAGTGAAGACGTGCACCACCACGTCTGACTATGCCAAGCTTATAACGTGCTCTTTTAATTTTTTTTATTGAAAATATACTCTTCCCCACCAGGCAGCAGTGGCACACACCTTTAATCCCAGCACTCAGGAGGCAGAGCAAGGCAGGTCTCTGTGAGTTCGAGGCCAGCCTGGTCTATAGAGCAAGATCCAGGACAGTCACCAAAACTACACAGAGAAACCCTGTCTCGGGGAAAAAAAAAAGAAAGAAAATAAATTCTTCTCTCATACAATACATCCCAACCACAGTTTCCCCTCCCTCCACCGCCCCCCCAGCTCCCTCCACCTCTCCCCTCCCCCAGATCCACTCCCCACCCTTTGCTTAAAACCTTTGCTCTTAGAAAGAGCAGGCCTATGAAAGACAACAGCCAAACAGGACAAAACAAGATATAATAAGACAAGGCAAAGCCCTCAGATGGAGACTGGATAAGGCGACCCAATAGGAGGAAAAGAGTCCCAAGAGGAGGCAAAAGAGTCAGAGACACACCAGCTCCCACTGTTGGGAGTCCCACAGAAACACCAAGCTATTAGCCACAACATGCACACAGGATCTGGCACAACCCATGTAGGTCCTGCGCTTGCTGGCTTCAGTCTCTGTGAGCCCTGCTTAGTTGATTGAGTAGACCATTGAATTGCAAGACATTTACTTTTTAAAGTTAGTATACAAAATGATGGGGTTCCTTATGTTATATTCTTACATATGTCATTATATCATGTTCTTGTTCATCTTACCCTTCAATTTTAGAACAATTTTATTGTACAAAATATAAAGAAGAAAAATATATTCAAGTGAATCCTTCCTCTTACAGACACTCCCTCCCAGAAGATGCAGGAAAGTATTTTGACCAGGACAGTCGTGTTCTGGAGGCTCCGATGACAATCTGGGTGGCTGACCAGGTCTGTACAGGACACTTTCTGGGAATGTTAAGCACTCCTAGGGAACAGGTGGCTGCTGTGGGAGGTCAAACCCTGTATCTCCAATGACAATGCCTAAAGAGGTAGAACCTTGATTTCAAAACCCATCCTCACTTCCCAGCTGGTGATATCCAGGAGCCTGACAGGAAGCTTTGCCTCCTATCCATATAACCCCTGCATAGTATGAAAGAACAGAAAAAGGCTTCTTATTCTGGTCCAAGTAGGCTGGCTCAGATACCTCACCCACATATGCACACAAGAAATATGCCTATGGGGCTGGAGAGATGGCTCAGGTGTTAAGAGCACTGGTTGCTATTCCAGAGGACCCAGGTTCAATTCCCTGTACCCGCTGTCTGTATGTAACTCCTGTTCCAGGGGATTTGACACCATCACACAGACATACATGTAGGCAAAACACCAAAGTACATAAAATACAAATAAATAAATTATTTTTAAAAAAGAAATATGCCTATACAATTGAACACAGATACACTGATGAATGCACCACATACACACATAGATATACATGTTATGACCTCATAAACATGGGTCCACATATGTAAGTGCTTACAAACAATATATCCACACATAGTCACATGCCACATTCCACACCTGGTTGATGCTTTAGACTACTGCTTACACTCCTTTTCCATTCACCATGGAATTCTGGCTCAGACACTCAGTTGTTCACTAGGAAATACTGAGAAATGGTCTGGTTGAGAAACTCATGTTCTGGAAATAGTATGCTGTTGGCCACACGGCAGCAGAACTGCCTTTATTATTTGGGGCTTTTGCATAAATCTTCCAGTGGCTGGGAATGTTCTCTGCTGTTTGCACCTTAGATCAAACCAGTGGGCTTCACTGTCCAAGCCATCGTCACCACCTCAGACTTGGAAATCAGCCCCTTAGAGATAAACTTTGGCTACTGTACCATCTATGAGGCTATCAGGACAGAAATCAGCCTCAGCAACCTCTCACTGTTGCCCCAGGAGTTTGGGTTCGTTGGACTTCCAAAGGTACCTGCTGTGGTCATCCCTGGGGATGTGGAGCAGGACATAACAGCTGCTCTCCAGGCCCAGGTGTCAGCAACTCTGCTGCCCTGTAAAACCTCCCAGTTGAACCTTTCCTGGGGTCTCCTGGGCCTCTCATGTTTCTGGCTGTAAGGTACCCAAAAAACTCTAGACTCTCTCCCTGCCCGCCTTCTAAGACTTTCCCTGGCCAAGCCCCACAGGACAGTCCAAGAGGATGCCCAGGCCTGACTGCCATCAGCCCTTCCTAGGCTGTCCCTATCCACCCACACACCTAGCTTACATACCCTCACACTCGGTAAGGTTGAGCACCCACACGCATACACATCTTTCATACTCTCATACCCTCCGTGTGTCCTCCTAAACTGGCATGTTCACATATCACTTCCCCATACAGGGTACACAGTTTTCTACCAGCTTCTCTACATAGCATGGTTTTCACTTTGACTCTGTTCCCATTCCCCAGTATGTGGACATCCAGCCCAATGATGGGTTTGGGACGATCTTGCCACTGGAAACTTTGCAACTTGATGTGATCTTCCAACCCATTAAGGCCAAGGAATACAGATTTGAGCTAGTCTGCAAATCCGAAATAAACCGGTAAGCCTGCTAGGCAGAGGAGACATGTGACCATGGTGTCCTTTCCTCAAATCCCACCAGGCTGACCTCGGGGATGGGGTAGACAGTACTGGTGACCAATAGGAACCCAAGACCCAGGGATAGTTAGGTTAGCTTTTAGGTCCACGTGACCTTTTACTTTGGACTAGTTTACCCTTGTATGTGAAGAGATAAGGAAATAATGAGTCATTGAATGTGAGTATTGTAAACATGAGCATCTGTGTGCATGTCAGTACATTGTGAAAAGTATCTTGGTATAAGCATTCATACATTATTCACTCTCAAGGCTTGAAATATGTCATTCCTTGCTTTCCTGGGTTTCTGTTGGGAGGTCTAGTGTTATTCCAACGTATTTACCTTTGCAAGTTGGTATCTTGGGCATACTCAGTTGGTAGAATGCTTGCTGCACATGCTTGAAGCCCTAAATTTGATCCTCAGCACCACATGAAGCAGTGCTGTAAGCACTTATAATACCAGCACGTGGACATCAGAGGCAAGAGAGTCAGAGTGGAGGTTATCTTTGGCCAAGTAATGTGGTTGAGGCCAACTTGGGCTATATAAAACCTGTCCCAGAAACTCAAAACAAACAAAAAAAAACTCTTTTTTAATATTTAAAAGGAGTTAGAGAGATGGCTTAGCAATTAAAGGCACTTACTGTTCTTGCAGAGGACATCAGTTCAGTTCTCAGCATCCACGTGGTGGCTCACAACCATCTGTAACTCCAGTTCCAGGCAATCATGTCTTCTCTGGCCTTCTTGGTTTCCTGCACACACACAGTACACATAAAATTATACAATTGAGCATGTGTGCATGCATACAAGTGTACACACACACACACACACACACAATTTTTTTTTTTTTTTGGTTTTTCGAGACAGGGTTTCTCTGTGTAGCTTTGCGCCTTTCCTGGAACTCGCTTTGTAGACCAGGCTGGCCTCAAACTCACAGAGATCCACCTGCCTCTGCCTCCTGAGTGCTGGGATTAAAGGTGTGCGCCACCACCACCTGGCAAATTTTTAATTTAAAGATTTGAGCCAGGTACAGTGGAACATGCCTTTAATCCCAGCCCCCAGCAAGCAGATCTCTGTGAATTCCCAGCCAGCCAAGACTGCACAGTGAGACCCTGTTTCAAAAACAAAACAAAAAGGGTTTGAGAGCTGTGGGGATGGCTCAGGGGGTAGAGTGCTTACTGTGGAAGTCTGAGGATCCGAGTGTTAGTCCCTAGAACCCACACAAAGCACAGCCCTGCATCTGTGACTCCATTGCTCCTGTGACAAACTGCAAGGCAGAGAAGGTAAAATCCTTGGAAAACTCAAGGGCCAGCTGGCCTGACATGTAGCCGTGAACAGCAACAAAAAGAGAGACCTTTGGGCTGGTAAAATGGATCAATGGGTAAAGGTACTTGTCACCAAGCCTGGCAACCTGGTAGGAGAGTATTGGCATTCACAAACACGCTAAATATAAAGAAAAAATTTAAATAAAAAAAGAGATCTTATCTCAAAACAAGGTAGAAGGTAAAAACCAACTTCCAAAGTTGTCCTCTGACCGTCACCCTTGCACTATGGCACATGCAAGCACACACTCACACATATATCTACAGACACATATATACGTGCGTACAAATAAAATCACATTTCAGCACAAATAAAATATCACCATACAGGTGCCTGCAGAGTTCAGAAGAGGACTTTGCTCCCCTTGAACTGGAGTTACAGGTGGTTTCAGCCCCCATGTGAGTGCTGAGAACTGAACCTGGGTCATCAGCAGGAACAGCCAGGGCAGTGCTCTTAACCTCTAAGCTCGTGGTTCCCAACTTGTGAGTAGAGACTCCTTTGGGGAGGGGTCTCATTTCAAATATTTATATTAGGATTCATAACAGTAGCAAAATTACAGTTATGAAGTAGCAACAAAAATAATTTTATGGCTGGGGGTCATCACAACATGAGGAACTAACTCTATTAAAGGGTCGCAGCATTAGGAAGATTGGGAACCACTGCTCTAAGCCATCTCTTAGCCCTGAAACTCTTATTTTTAAAGCAACTTAATGAGGTCATAAACAACTGTGATGACTGTAGGAATAAGTATTGGGCACCTGGGGCATCATCAGCTCAACAGGCCTGTCCATCACAATTGGCATGTGGAGAGCTGTGTGTCTCCTCCCCTCAGGGCTGCAGAGGGACCACAGATGCCACGGCACAAAATGAATATAACCCACATGATTGCTTTCAGGTGCTTCAAGGTGTCTTGCCAAGCAGTAGGTGTCCACCCACCCCTGGAGCTGTCCCACTACCAGATCAAGTTTTCAGCCACTGCCTTGTATGGCACCACTGTGTCCACGCTGTATGTCATCAATTCTCACCTTAGCATGAACAAACTGATCCACTCCTTGCCTCGAATTGGGTCAGAGGAAGCTACCCCAGTGGGACCAACATCCTTTGAGTTCTTGGTGCCCCCTAATTCACCCATCACCATCTCACCATCCGTGGGGACTGTGTTACCAGGAAAGGTGAGCATGGGCCCCACTGACAGGCTCGGAGGCAAGGTGTGCAGGCCACTGTCTAGGGTGCCTGGCTTGGTACACCTTAACCACAGGTATTGAACCACAGCAAGGCCAAGGGTATGAGGCAGGGGCTCAGGAGCAGTGGAAAGACAAAACGGTGCCCTTGGCTTCACCTGAGCTGAGAGGCAGAGAACTCTGAGAGGAAGCCGATCTAGCACATGCCTGCCTGGGGCTGGAAGGAAGATGTGCAGACTGTCAGGACAGTCAAGTGTTGGCTCATAGTAGATAGCTAAAGAAAGCCACACAATACCTGCCTCAAGGAGCACACCTGTGTGGCCCACTTCCGTTCAGTGTCCTTTTGTCTGGTCACCAGCAGGATTCAAAGGACACAGTTATTTAAAACATGTTCTGTTGGATTTAGAGATTACTACCTCCGTATTGGTTGTTGTCTCCCACTGAGTTATGACAGTGTCTAGCTATATTTTTCCTTCTACTCTGCCTTTTCCCTTCTCCTTCCTCTTCCTATTCTGTCTTCTCTCCTTTTTTCTCATCTCTCCCTCCCCTGTTCACTCTTCTCCTCCTCTGTCTTTTCTTCCCCCTCTAACCCATCATTTCACCCCTACAACCCCCACTCCCACATCCTGAGCATCAAAGAGATGTGGTCAGCAAGTCACCGTGGAATCTTTCCTGAGACATGTCCCATGGGGACTTGCTGCAGATGGGAAAGGTCTCCGTGTTCCCAGGTTCATTTCTTACTCTAGTCTGGTGAGGTTCTGACCCATTCAGGACCCTGCTCTCAGCACCTCTAGTTAATAGACCTCCAACATACATGGCCTGAAGTCCACCCCAGCTTCCTAGGGCAGTGATCAGGGAGAACCTTCCTGGAAGGGAACATGTAGGTTAAAATATCAAAAAAGCAACCTTAGAGAAACACAGTCAAACTTGGTGGCACATGCCTTTTGAGAGACAAAGGTAGGCAGATCTCTGTGAGTTCAAGGCTAGCCTGGTCTACAGAGAGAGTTCCAGGACAGCCAGGGCTACACAGAGAGACTCTGTCTTGGAAAAAATAAAAATGGGGGTGGGGGAGAGGGAAGAAGAGGGAGAAGGGGGGAGGGAGGTTGAGAGAGAGAGAGAGAGAGAGAGAATGAATACAGGCCACCATGGGAGGAGGGAGGTGCACCAGCAGGGCCACCTCTGCCCTCTGAGCTTCTGGGGAGGGTTGGCAGTCCTAGTGTCTCTCTGCAGAGGTGTTTGGTCCAAGTGGCCTTCCAGCCTGTACTGCCACATGAGACAATCCTTGAGGAAGCCATTCATATCCTGAACAAGGAAACAGAGACCAAACTGGTAAGTGAAGTATTTTAGGGGAGGTGCATAGTGACCAGAGGGTAGCGGCATGAGGGGAGCAAATGGCACACCACCAAACGGAAGGAGGGTGCAGATGTGTGGGCCTGCTGTGGGATGACCCCTCTGTAGGCTGTGAATATGTTTCATTACCATCAGTTAATAAAGAAGCTGCTTTGGCCTATAGCAAGGCAGGATAGAGCCAGGTGGGAAATCCAAGCAGAGATACAGGGAGAAGAAGGGTGAAGTCAAACAGATGCCAGTGAGCAGCCAGAGCAACAAGATGTACTAGAGAACAGAACACCACAAAGCCACGTGGCAAAATATAGATGAATAGAAATGGGTTAATTTAAGTTGTAGGAGCTAGTTAGTAATAAGCCTAAGCAATAGGCCAAATGGTTTGTAATTAATATTAAACCTCTGAGTGATTATTTTAAAAGTGGCTACAGGACCAGGCAGGACAGAAAAGCCTCCTTGTACATGGGCCTCTGGCACCTGGGACTGCAGTCTGTGTCCTACACGTGACAGAGGTACAAGGCAGACTTTTCTGGAACTGTGCTCCAAGCTGGTAAAAGGTTGTCTTGCACGACCTCTCCCTCTCCTGGAAGCACCACCAGGCAGCAGGAGGCAAGGGTGACCCTAAGGGTGGCTGAAGTTTTAACCAAAGCAGGGCTGGGATTAAAAACCCAGAATAGCTTCTCATGAGGGATAACACAGAAACCACCTTTGGAAGGTAGCCTTGAAATAGTAGGCAAGCCTCACCCAACAGTATTTTCAGGCTTTCCATACTGTACCGACTTAGGGAGTTGTGAAGCCACTGGCTACAGGCTTACCCTTCTCATGGCCTCATGCCTCTTATACTACATGCATGAGCGAAGAGCCCTGACCTTCCTTCCACCTTCTGATGAGGCAGTGAGGTTCAAGAAAGGCATGGACTGGAGGAGACTGATGACCCCAATTTGGCAAACTTCTTCTCTGTGGCTTGGTCTCTCTAAGTTCAGACATTTCAGGCCATGAACTTGTCCTTGGATGGTCTCTGTGTGTGGGCTTCCCAGGTGACCCTGGATGCTTATCTATCTCCACTGCTTACTTTCTTAATCCCCTGATGCACCTGTTGTCAAACTCCCTTAGAGAGCCAGTTGATTTGAGGATTCCATTCACTCCAAACTTGAACTGGTAGCTCCTGTCACTCAGCAAGCAGTCAGACCAAGCCTGCTAGGCTAGGCTATAAACAGACATTTCCCCACTGCCCAGTCCCAAATAAACACACAGAGGCTTACATGAATTATAAATTCTCAGCCAGTAGCTCAGGCTTATTACTAACTAGCTCTTACATTTTACGTTAACCCATATTCCTTATTTACACTCTGCCACATGGTGGTACCTTTATTAGCATAGCACATTCATCTCCTGCTTCCTCTGCATCTGGCTGGTGACTCCTGACTCAGCCCTTCTCTTTCCCATCATTATTTTTAGCTTAGTCACCCTGCTATACTTCCTGCCTGGCTACTGGCCAATCAGTGTTTTATTAAACCAATTCAAGTGACATCTTCACAGTGTACAAGAGGATTATTCCACAGCAGTGGGCCTCAGAAGAGCCTGGGACAGGGAAGCAGTGAAACACCTGCTGTGCAGAGGACTGAGCCCCGATGGTAGCCCCTCAGCATCTGCTCCTGCTTTCAGTTCCGAAAGGAAACAACCCAAAGGAAGGAACAGTGGAAACAGTCTCTGCCTGTGGTTCGGGTTCACAACCGGGACCGACCAACCCGGGCCTCTACCCCCCATACCCAAGAACTGCAGAGGCAGGGGCTCAGTGCCAGGTAGGACGGAGGGGTCTTCCCAACCTGCACCTCACCAGCCCTCCCCGGATGTTCAGTAGAGGTTTTCCCATACATTACCTGGAGCACGACTTCACTGACTTGTGTGTCTGCAGATCCAAGACCGACTGTGTAGTGGTATTTGCTGCATGACTGGCTTCAGAAATAGTTGGACCCAGGGCTCTTCTTCCGAGGCATCTGCTCCTTGGCTATTCCCATGGACCTGATATCCCTCTGAACAGACTACTCCATGGTCTGACTCCAGCCTCCTCAATGAACAAATGAGCCCAAGAAAACTCTGATGGGTTAGGCCCCTTGCCAGCCCAGGACCTGTCCCTGTGGACCCAGGAATATGGTTCTGTAGTGACAAAGACATTTACTCCCTCTCTCTGGATGACCAGGGTCTTCAGTGGGGAAGAAGGTCCCTACAGGAGCCAGAGAAGGGTGGGAAAGTTAGTCTATCAGACAAAACTGGTGTGGCCACCACCTGGGACCCATAGTGGCTCTGAGCTCTGCCTCTTAATGCTTTTACCTTCCCCGGAGAGTTCACCTGAGCCCACAGCCCTAGAGAGCAGGCATGACCATCAAAGATGAGGAAGGTCTGGTCCCACTCTGAGTATCCTAGGAGCAGAGCCTAATAGGTCATGAGGAACATGCATGAATGTTCTTTGTTGGCTTCATTCCAGTTCCAATGAATACCAAGCTGCACAAGCCACCTTGGCCAGAACCTTCCAGGGGAAGTTTGACAGGTTTGTGGTCCCTTGTGTCATTGCCAGTGGTGACATCAAAGACAGGAAGGCATCGGAACCTCTGAGCTTCAGGTGTGTGGGGTTCTTGAGACAGGATGGGGTGTGATTGGCCATAAAATCACTCCTCTACTGCTAGTCATATCTGAGACACAAATAATCTGCCATTATTTGCCCTTGTCCTGCTTCTAGCCCCTATAACACTCTATATCTGGAGCTATGGTGTCCAGTAGTGGCTCCATCCATTGTGGTGATATCTAATGAAGGCAAGACTGTCGTTAACTTCGGTGATATTGCTGTGGGTAAGTCCTAATTCTATACCGACAGCCCTGACTCCTGACAGTGTATCTTTTTTTTTTTTTTTTTTTTTTTTGAGTTGAGGATCGAACCCAGGGCCTTGTGCTTGCTAGGCAAGCGCTCTACCACTGAGCTAAATCCCCAACCCGACAGCGTATCTTCTACCCTGGGTACCAGGACCATTCCAGTTACTATCTGCTCCCTGACCTTGCTGCAGAAATAGATGCTCCTTGGGCCTTTGTGACTCTGTGACCTGACTCTTTGCCACATTTCAGGGCATCGAGGCATAAAGAAGATCACCCTCCAGAACATTTCTCCCGAGGACCTTCCTGTATCCTTATCTGTACTCAGTGAGTCAGCTTCCGAGGTTGGAGATGGCAGTGAGGTGTGTGGCAGAGCCTGCAAAATGTCACCTTCATCCTTGACACTCAGTTCTTAGTTGGAGTTCTCAGTGCTGAACCCCCATGGCCCCTTCGTTCTGCTAAACCCCTCCAGAAAGCTATGTTCTGGCGAGACACAGACCCTGGTGCTGTCCTTCTCACCCCACGAGAGCATACTGGTGAGTGCAGCCCCCAGGCAAAGCTGCTGCCCTGAGATCCCCACACTGCCGGACCATGATGTGGCCATAGGCAGACACCACTGTGTTCTCAGGCCCAGATGATCAGCTGGAGCCTGAAAGCAGCCTGTCCTGACCCAGTTCTTGCCAACAAGTCTGTGGAAGCAAAGATCTCCAGGCTATCTCAGGAGCACAGTGCTATCAGCTACTCATGGGTAGAGCTCCCATGTCTGCATTTTGCTAAAGGACATAATCTCCTTAGGCTCAAGAAACACTGGACATCATCTCCAAGAGAGGCACTCTCACTCTCACCCTTACGGGCACAGGTGTGGCATCCATGATTACATGCTCCATTGAAGGCAACATCCTCAACATGGGCTATGTGCTTGCCAGAGAATCTGTCTCAACAAATTTTAAGGTGAATTAAGCCCTGGTCCTAGCCTCCTAAAAAAGGATTCTTTGGAGCCAGTGAACTCTGCATGGGGAAATACCCAGCTGGTTGGGGAACCCCTCGAGGCACAGATTGTCTCTCCTGAATTCTGTTCCCGAGAGGCTGTCATTTCTGATGTCTTCCTAGCAGGGACCCCAGAGCCTTTACTTCTAGGAAAGCTGGGAGCACCTTCCCTTGACCTTCTGACAAAGCGCTGGCCTGAAGGATATTTCTTGTCTTTCTACATCAGGCCTTCATTGCTCTTCCTCTTTGCTACTTATTTACTTCTTTAGACTTCTAACTAGGTGCCCCCCAGTGGACAGACCTCTAAGGAGATCCATGCTGTTACCTGGGCTCCCTCATGTTCACATGAACGTGGTCCTGTCTCACTCTGAGGGCTACCCTAGGTTTGGACTCAAGCAACCTACTTGCCCACCTGCTTTGATGGGGTCCTGAAGCAGAATACCATACAGGGTACTATCCAAAGAGAGGACTGAGGAAGGAGAAGAGACTAGATGAGGATATGGTTCAGTTAAGAGGAGCTCTGGAGAACAGTTGACAGGCACAGAGCTGACCACATAGCTGGGCAGGGAAGCAGGCTGCCAACCAGCCTTGGAAAAGGCCAAGTGATTGAGTACCAACAGTCCCAAACACTGATACTGCAGTTACTGTTGGCAATACCACCAGAAAGGGCTTGGAGCATAGTGTCACCTGGTCCCCATCAGGTGTGATCCAGCAGCAAGCAACCTAGTCATAGACACTGACCACAGGCATAGGGCAGCTTAGGGTATGCTAGTTGAGTGACATCTTGCTCTTGCAGCTACAGAATGAATCCTCACTTCCCATTAAGTTCTGGATGCGGCTGGAGAGCCTCTCCAAAAAAAGGGCTGAGACCCGGCAGCAGCTACCAAAGTTCCTCACCTCCCATGAGCAGAGGACCGAAATTGTTGGTGAGTTAACACATTGCCAGGAATCACAGGGGTATGGAACCATGAGGAGATATGTGCTGATGGAGTACAGCAAGACAGATCATGAAGAGACTGAGCAAAGAGGAATGCAGAGGGGTATGAGCTCAGTGGAGCAGGACTGGTAGTGTTGATCATAATCCCTGTCCTGCCCTCAGGCACACAGAACCACAATGGCCAGAGCGTATTCAGTGTTGTTCCAGTCGAGGGACTCATGGTCCCTGGGAAGGCTCACGAATTCACCATAACCTTCAGTCCAGACCATGAGAGCCTCTACTTCTCTGACCTGCTCCAAGTGGTGCTCTTTGAAAAGGTAGAGTTTATAGCTGAGCCCCCACAGATTTCACCCCATTCTGGGAAGGATCCCTGTGTGTCCCTTATCTGCCCCTTCCTGGAGGCTTTTATTATCTGGTACCTCGTGTTAGAGGATGTCAGACAGAGATCAGCATCCCTGGTTCTCCAGGCCCCACCCCAAACCAGCCTCAGTCCCCAATTGTCAAGCTTCAGGGCAGGCTGCTATGCTTCTTGTCCCCAGAAAGTCTCCCACCAGATCCTCCTGAAGGGTGCTGCCCGTGAGCACATGATGTTTGTGGAGGGAGGAGACCCACTGGATGTGCCTGTGGAGTCCCTGACAGTGATCCCTGCCTTCAACCCAGAACATAGAGAAGGTGAGCCCCTACCATGTCATTTCTGGCTCAGGGAAAGGGGAGGCAGGGGTGACCTCGGGGAGCAGTGAGAGGGCCCTCTAGCACCCCAGGCCAGCAAGTGGGCATACTGAGGCCCATTGGAGAAGAGCAGATTACTAGCCCTTCAGCCCCAGAGCCAGGCAGGATGATCTCTACCAAGGAGATTACTCTGAGAGGATCCAGCTTCACCCTCCACTTCCTTTTTGTGCTGCCTGACCCTGGACAGCTCACCTCACTCCAAGGCCACATTCTTCCATTTAACCACTTTTCAGCTAGATCTCCTCCTCCAGAAGCAGAGGAGATGAAGCCTATTCTGGTGACCTTGAACTATGTCCAGTTTGACACAGACATGCCAACCCCACCTGCCACCCGAGAGCTGCAAGTGGGCTGTATCCGGACCACCCAGCCATCACCAAGGAAGGTGATTACAGCCCTAGCTTGAGCTAAACCCCAGAAACTTCATTGGCCTCCCTGACCTAGGCTCCCTGACCTCTCCTGGCCTTGTGTAGGATTTTTGCAGCAGATGTAGGGTGGCAGCCCTGGTCAGAGTTGAGGGGTAGGTAAAGCTGGGCACCCTCATCCCACTAGTTCTACTGCCTCCTGAGAGTACCTGACCCTCTAACCTCCAGTAGTACCAATGTCTCACAGACTGTGGAGTTCATCCTGGACAGTATCCCATGGCTTCAGCACAAGGGCTTCTCTATCGAGCCTTCCAGGGGTTCTGTGGAGCGTGGTCAGACCAAGACCATCAGCATCTCCTGGGTACCGCCTGCTGACTTTGATGTAGGTGCTGGGACCCCAGGCTGGGCAGGGAGAGGTGGTGAAGTAGGGCATTGGGAACAAGCAGATTTGTCTGGAAATCCTACTAAGGAGCTTCTTCTTCCAGCCGGACCATCCACTCATGGTGTCAACCTTGCTGCAGCTCCGGGGAGATGTAAAGGAAACCTACAAAGTCATCTTTGTAGCCTACGTGGTGGCTGGGCTCTGAGGTCACAGGAAACTGCAGAGCCTCTTGGACTCTCCTATCCACCCTTGAATCCTTTCCCAGGCTGTGGGGCCAGGCCAACCCTTTCCCCTAGGCCTGGGACCTGGGCATCCCCTGCTGGGCAGGTTCAAATGTCCCAGAGCCAGAGCTCCCCAGCCCTACAGACATGGCTACTTCCTGCTGCCCTGAGAGCAATCCAAGAACCCCGCCCCTGCCACAAACCAAGAAATACTAATCTATCCAACTCACCACACACAGCCTGCTCCTAGATACACTACCTCCACCCCCCAAAATCCCAAACCCATCAGCACCTCCTCAGGCTTTAGAGGTCCCAGGAGATAGTGCAGGTTGATCAATAAACTCTAAGAACCAACGCCCAAGTGTGCAGTGACAGGGTATGGGTGGGGGGCTGGCTAAGCACAAAGTAAGGTGGGAGGACAGCCTGGAGGAAGCCCGACCCACACTCCCCTCACAGACACCAGCCCATAAGACAACGTTCTGCCTAGTAAGAACCTCCCAGAGGGTGGAATCTTGCTGGATAACTAGAGGGAGTTCACCCTGACTCAAACAATGGAAGATTCCTCCAAATCTATATTATTGAGGGTAACAGCATACAGTTCAGGGTGCTGGGGGTGCAGAGCCAGGTTTGAGCCTGGTCCAGACCTAGCAAGGCTCAGGGAGGAGTAAGAGGAGGACAAGAGCTTCCCAAGTCCAGAGTTGGTCCTTCAAGCCTCCCAGCTCCTCCCAAGTCCCAGGAACCTAGATGATCCCAACCAAGAAGTGGGTCAGGGGCAAAGGGGGGCCCAGCTTATGAGTTTGAGTTTACACTTGTCTAAAAAGAATGGATTATGCTTTCTGGGCCCTAACACACCCAGCTGTACTCCCACCCCAACACTGCATCCAGCCTGCCTTCCTACCGGTGCAGCATACTACTTTGCCACCCAATGGGGACAAGCTACCAAGAGAGCCTTCCCAGCCTTCCTAGCCTGGCAGGGCAATGGGGGTGATGATATCTGTCTGGGTGCTCTCCTGAACACTGCTTTAACTCTTGTATTTCGTGCCCTTGAAACCTTGAAGCCTGGCCTTGCCCCTAAGTGAGCCAGTGACATTGACCTTAAAGCAGCATTTTACAGGATTTCTGCTCAGTGACCTTAGAGGTATCAGGCCCAGGCCCTTTGCTGCCCTGAGCTGACCAGTAAAAACCCTTGACATGTTTCCAGGTCAGATGGGTGGCAACAGCAAGTCCACTAGACCAGGCTAGGGTTCATGAGGATATGCTCTAGGGAAAGCATGGCCCCAGGCAGGCCACTCCCTTCTGAACCCAGACATGGTTCTCCCGCCCAGGTCCTCTCTTTTCTGGACCCCAGGCTCTGACCTGGGCCTCAGGTTGCTCTTTTGTCATCCACTCTTTCCTCCTATTATGGTGCTGGCCCTCCAACACCAAGCATAGCCAAGGCAGAGCAAAGGAGGGAAAGCAAGACAGAGGACAAGTTCACCAGCCTGACAGAAAGGGCCCTTGAGAGGCAAAGCACAGGTCCTGAATGCATAGGGCAGCTGTAGACAGAACCCTGAAGCACTCCTTCAGTGAGGGAGAAACCTGAGATCAACACAAGTATGAGCACAGTGAAGAAATAAAGGCAGAAGGAAGTCAGGTGTACCTCCTGTCCTTAATGAGCCTGGCTGTGCTGACCACCCCTGCAATCTGAACACTAGTGTTCCAACAGTCCCCACAGTGGAGGGCAGAGCACCTAGCTTGGAGGCAGAAAGATTAATAAGCTCCTCCAGGAAGAAGCAGCCACTTCAGCAGTAGAAGAAGCAGGCATCCCAGGTTGAGGGAGGAGTGCTGGGAAGTGGTCTGTTTGAAGCACCTCAATAGCCCAGAGCCAGGTGCTGGCTCCGGGCCAAATGGGCCGACCATTCCCCCGATGTGTCCACGTGGAGGATGCATAGCAAATGTCCTCTAAGAGTGGTTTGGAAAGCTAAAGCCCCAGCTTATTAATGGTGCAAACTCCCACCCCTTTTACCTAGAGGATTGTGGAGTATGAGGGTGGATTCTACTTGTCCGGAGAGGCCACAACCCAGTGCAGCCCACAAGTTTCAGGAGACCTGATTTGTGAATGGGGATGGGGAAATTAGGAGATAGGGGTGGCTGGGTGAGGTGTCAGTCTGATACAAGACAAACCCATGCCCCATGCCCAGAGCAAGACCTGCTCTATCCCCTACCGGAGGACTTTGGTCCTTGAAGATGCAGAGTGTGTGTCCATCCACGCATGCATGCACGAGGTCTCTTAAACCGGGTGTTTGTGCGCGCGCGTGCTCTCTCTCAAACCGGGATGATAACCTCTAGAGACAGAAAAATGGAGGGCAGGGAGCAAGGAGGGAAGCATACCAAGGTGGGTGTGATCCTGGACCTTCAGCTGACAAGGCCCAGGGGCGGGGCCTCATAAAGCTGAGTGGACGCTGGACTGAGTTCCGCTGTGTCTGCGGAACATGGCCCCCGGGCCGCCAGTCACACAGGGGCTCTTGCTGCTGCTACCTCTCCTGCCCCTGTCGCAGGTGGGTTGGACCGCGCGTACGGCGGGTTTATGGCAAGTGGGGCGGCCCTGAGTTCGGCCCCGCCCCGCTCAGGCTCACCCTTGTCCCCACAGGTGACGCTGGGTTCTGCGGACAGCAACTGTGACCCTTCGGACCAGTAAGTAGCTGGGGACGGGGAGGGGGAGAGGGGACAGGGGAGGGAGACAGAGCTCGGCACGCGCTGGAAAAGGCTGGAGCGGTGGAGTGAGCTACCAGATACCCCGCCTGCTCCAGGTGCCGCTGTTACCGCAGGTGCCCGCCCCAGGCCCGCTGGAGCAGCCTATGGCATGTGGGGTAAGTGGAAGCCGAGGTGCCAAGCCTCTGGTCCGACGGTTCCTCTGAAGGTAGACCTAGGCTAGGCCGGCCAGACCCTTTCCATTTACTGCCCCCCAACTCCCTGGATGCTGTTTGTTTAAAGAGCTCTTGAGCCCCAGGCAGCCTTGGAAGCAAGACCTGGTTATAGTCGGCAGAAGGCACAAGGATTGTGCAGTTGGCTGGGGACAGTGTGTCCTGGGAATGAACCCAAGGACACCTCTGGCCAGCCCTAGAGAGCCAGCCAGGGCAGGCTGCTCCTCAGGCCTGCATCTAGCCCAAGAAGTTCTGGCACGGAGAGACTTGTCTTGCTTTCTTTTCCCCTGTCTTGTTATCCTGTCTTGGGTGGTTGGGCATGACTGGCCCCAAGGTACAGGTGCGTGGCAGATCCTCACTCTTCTCTGCCAGGCTTATCCTGCTTGCCATACTCCTGATGCTTCTGTGTGGGGTCACAGCCAGTTGTGTACGGTTCTGCTGCCTCAGGAAGCAGCTGCACACCCAGACACGCATGCGACCAGCATGGCAGCCCTGTGACCTGACAGTCATCCCTGTGGACAGTGACAGCCCTGCACACAGCACTGTAACCTGTGAGTGTCTGGGGACCCACTAGCCAGCATGGGGGTGGTGGACACAGGGTGAATGCCAAACCATCCCCACAAACCCACTCTTGTTCCCTGCAGCCTACAGTTCCGTGCAGTACCCACTGGGAATGCGGTTGCCCCTGTTCTTTGGGGAGCCAGACCCTGACTCAATGGTCCCTCCCACCTACAGCCTGTATGCCTCTGAGCTGCCACCCTCCTATGATGAGGCTGTGAAGATGACAAAAGCCAGAGAGGAAGCAGCGGCTCCCTCTCAGAAACCCAACTCTCTGCCTGAGGCTTTGGGGCTAGAGACTACTCCAGGGCCCCAAGAGCCAGGCCCCAGTGCCCAGCAGCCCTAGCTGTGCCCCTGTGAAAAGGGTAGGAGTTCTTTCTTCTGGAGCCGTTAAACCATAGCCTGGACTCTGGCACGTAGAACCAAGGACCTCCACCTGTGCCATCCTTCTCCTGGGAAGGCCAGCCATCCAGCACATTGCTGCAGACTTGGCCTCATTGCTATGCAATGCCCGGCCAGCCAGCCTGCCCTGCATTGGCCCCTCCTCCTTACCCCTCCCACCTATCTGGGGCCCAGCAGACCCTCAGCCCAGAGGAGCGTGAACCTTGAGAGCTGAAGCCCCCACTGGCATGTCAGCCCTTTGAAGAGAGAATAAAGTTTGTGTGAACATGGTCTCTGCCTTTGTGGAAAGGGCTCCAGGATGTCCAGGAGGCCTTAGGTAGCCACCCCAGTGTAGACAGACAGGGTTATTGGAAGTCCATTTACTTTTCCTGCTGGTGTTCAGAACCCAGAACTGGACAGTGAGAAAGGCCAAGGTCAGAGAGAAATGGTCTAAATTGTGTGTCCAGGACTGTCCCGCACACCCTTCTCCAGGACCAACTCCTTACCACCCTCCCCTCCAGGTTGGGACAGTGAAAAACAGTAGAGTCTGGCTGGAACATTTATTTGATGCAGAGCTGTGGACAGGGAGGGTGGCAGTGGGCAGTAGATTTCCTGGGCAGACCTCCTACAGTCACAGCAGCGATATTACTGGACCAACTTGAAGGACCAACTCTCCTGTCATCTGACTACAAACTCTGGGGGTAGATGGGCAGGTTAGCAGCCTTCCCTGGCCCCGAGGCTTGGTTCCCAGGCTCGTCCATTGCTCACCTTCATAGTCAGTGGTTCCATCCTTGTCAATCTCCTTGGCTCAGCCTCTGTTTTACTGAGGGTCTCACACACATTCATGAGCACCTATCTACCAAGGTCTCACACTCAGCCGCCATCTGCTGGTATCTTTGTGAACTCCCCATTTACTTAGATACCACCCCAAACCCTAGGCCCAAGGCCCTCCTTGAGTATGTTCCAGTCTATGTAGTTCTTGGTGTCCTTGTCAAAACTTGCCCTCCTGGTTGTGGGCTTTCTCAGAGTAAATCCACAACAGCACCAGGAAGCTATCACGGTTAAAGAACCCTTTATCTGCAAATAATTTTACTGGCCCAAGAATCAAGTTAGAGGTAGGCTAGGCCCACTTCTACCTTTCCCTTCTAGATGCTTCTCTCCCCACTCGTATGCACAGGTGACCATGGCCCAAGATTTCACCCACACCCCACACACCCTGCCAGCCCTGACTTACTGCCTCTGCCCACATCCTTGCCCAAGGAGGCCAGCTCACTCTCGGTGAAGTGGATTCCAAGCAGGCTTGTGAGCTGCTCCCACTCTCCGATCTTCACCTCTCCATTGCCCTCCTCATCAAACATCTCAATCTGCTCAGCTGACAAGCAATCAGTCTGTAAGGACACTTATAAGTTCTTCCTGTCCAGGAGAGGTTAGGAAGTAACCTAGCATCTACTTGGCTTCAGGGAATATAATTTAAAAGGAGACCCTAATGAAGAGAAGATGTTCAAGAGCAAGCAGATGTAATGAGCTTCATGGTGAGTGAAATTCTGACAGAGGCAAAAATGAGCAAGCAGGAGGTGGGGGCAGTCATGAGCACCAGATGAAGGTGGTCAGGTAGGCACACAAGAGCCCGGGCACAGACCATCCTTGTGAGGTAACATCAGGGACTAAGAAGTCTATGTGACAGACCCTGGGGCCAAAGGAGACAGCACACAAGAGACAGGAAATCAGCATGGGGAGACGCCCAATGAAGTCACAGTAAAGGTTCCCAGGTAAAGGCTTCCCTGCCAGCAGGTCATTGGACTAGGAAGACACAGTTCAGCATCCAACCCTTACCTTTGCACATCCTTGAAGCAGCAGGGCCCTATGAAAGCCTTCAAGAAAGGGGTGCTCCACCCTGGCCCTGGAGAAGGAAAGTGTATTGGTTAAAATATTAAGGCAACTCCACATAGTTAAAAGGGAGGTTTATTTTGTGGGGTAACTTACAAGAGAAGGGATAGGTTACAGGGTCTGGGAAAGGTGTAGCACAGTCCGGCAGCGGCGGTGTTCTCTGGAAAATTCTGCTCGGTCTACCTCCAGCATCCAGGGTCCAGGAACCAAGAGAGCCTGCGCATCTGGATCTCGGGTCTTCAGGGTCCTCTCTCGGCCCCGCCTTGTAGGCGTGACAGTTACTGAAGCCTCAATGGGGGTTGGAACTTCCAGATCAAAGCTGGAATGGCTACCCACTACAAAAGTGTTGATGGCTAAAGGCTTCTTCTAGGCTTCCAGAGCTCCTTTTTAGGCTTCCAAGAGGTCCTCACACCTTGGGTGCATTTCTGCCTTCAGACCCTGCCCAAATTCCCACCCTATCCAGCTAGTCCACCAGAGGTTCTCCTGGGGGCTAAAACCACCTTATTATGTGTGTGGCTGATCAAGAACACACTGCAGTGATTCCAAGCTGCTTTGGGTAGAGCATGCAGAACAGTGGCCCAGCCAGGTCTTAGCTATGCTTAACCCAGGGCCTCCAGGATACAGATTCCAAAAGCCTTTTAGCGGTAGGAAATCCTGCCGGCCCTTTAACTGGATAGGCTCAGTCCTTCCCTACAGGGGCCCTTTCCTGAACCTTCTCAGCCTGGGAATCCCCTAGCCCTAAAGATGAGTGCTTAAGGGCCAGGAACAGAGGGGCAGAGACGGGCTACATGGGCTGTTCCCTTCTCATGATCAAACTCTACAACCCCACATACATGAATGTACACACACACACACACACACACACACACACACACACACACACACACAGATAAATACATGTAATAATTTTTTCTGTAAGTTTTTAAGTTCAGTGCTGAGGAGATGGTCAGTGGATGAAGAGCACCAAGGTTCTACTTGTGAGACTTCTTCAAAAGGCCCAGACTAACCAGCTAGTTTCATGTTGTATGATATTTTGTTTGTTTTCTGACAAATAAAGCTTGCCTAGAGATCAGAGGGTGGAGCTAGCCACTAGTTAACCATAGAGGCCAGGTGGTTGTGGCTCACACCTTTAATCCCAGCACTTGGGAGGCTCATGCCTTTAATTCTAGCACAATCGGGATGTGGAGACAGGAATATAAGACGCGTAGAGACAGGATCTTGGCCCCCTTTTTCAGTCAGAGGATTCGTAGAGGTAAGAAGTCTCTAGTGGCTTCTGCTCTGCTGCTCTGATCTTTCAGCTTTCACACTGATATTTGACTCCTTAGGATCACGCTGCAGTTCCCCATTTGGCTTAGTCTGACTGGTCTCCCATGCTCATGGACTCAGTTCCAATCTCACTGCTAATACTTGGCAAACGCTCTCCAAAGGCAGAATGAGCAAGTTGGCTTAGGGATCCCAAACATCCTGCACAGATGGGGCTAAAGGTCCCCAGCTTAGAGAAGAGACATGGGCACAACCTGGGGCCAGGCAGGTGAACCTGGGGCAGGCTGCCACCAAGAGGCTGGCAGGTTTCCTCCAGGCAGTTGGGGGACTATTTTGGGGTTTCTTGGGAAACCTGACCTCCCTTCCACTCAGAACAGCAAAGCCTGCTCCCTAGGGAGTAGCAAGGTACCACAGAAACACTCAAATACTCTGTGCCCACTTACACACTTGAGGTTTTTTGTTTGTTGGTTTGTTTGTTGGTTGGTTGGTTTGTTTGTTTGTTTGTTTGTTTGTTTGTTTGTTTCAGATGTGCACCAGCTCCTCTTGTCTGAGTATAGCAAATCACCAGGCAATGGTGCTGACCCCCTAGAGCTTGGTTGGGGTCCTCCTTACTCCTATCCAGGCAGTGAGCAGGAGACCCACTGGTTAGAGACCACAGCACTTAGAAGTTTATACTTGTAGGTCTCAGATCTGTGGGCTGAGGGACTCCTCTCATCCCTAGCTGGCTGGCTGCCAAGATTAGTCATGACCTCAGCCTACCTGTCCCATGCCTGTCTGATGGCTCTGAGCATGTGGGGCATTCAGCATCCTCCAACAGCCCAGTCCTCTGCCTGCCAGAATACCCAGAGCTGCAGGATGAGAGCCACTGAGGCCAAAAAGTCTGTGCTAATAGTGATGGGAAGACTCCAGTGTGCAGCAAGCCTGTCTCCTGGGACTGTGAGAGAGGCCCGCTCTGGTTTTGATGTGGTTGGAGGACCATCCTATACCTTCATCCTGGCTGTGATCTGGCTTTGGTTTTCCCCAGGATCGGGGGCTCTCTGTGTACTGAATGCCTCCTTCCAAGGGTGCAGGGTAAGGGAAACCACAGCATCTAGACACCGGCCATCCTACCTAGATTCTGAGCCTAGAGTCACAGAGGGGAGGCAGCAGGTAACAAAAAGATGTCCTCATAGTCCTGGACAGCCATGCCTCACATCTCTTACCTGATGGTTGTAAAGAGTCTTTCTCTGTCCTACCAGCCAGCTCCAAGACATGGAAACTTATTATGAAAGTTCAGCTTTAGCTTAGGGTTGTCCCACTAGCTCTTGTAACTTAAATTAACCCATTTGTTTTAATCTACATTTGCCTCATGGCTTTATACCTTTCTTTCATTCTATGTCCAACTCCCTCCCTCCATGTCTCACTAGCATCTCCCTGTGCCTCGATTATCTCCTCCTAGTTCCTCTCCCTGTACCTGGAAGTCCTACCTATACCTCCTGCCTAGCTATTGGCCATTCAGCTTTTGATTATACCAATCACAGCAATACATTTTCACATAGTGTACAAATATCCCACAACATTTCTCCCTTTTGTCTAAGTAAAAAGGAAAGGTTTTTAACTCTAATACAGTAAAATCATACACAATAAGAGCAATTATCAAGTAAGAAATATATTTACAATGTCCAGTCTATCTGTATTTGGCAAATTAAGAGAAAATGTTCCATTATCTATCCTATCTTGGTGAGTCCAAAGTTTTGTACCTAATTTACTTTTTATCCTAACTTGTAATACCAACCCAGAACTATCTTTTTAGGCCTCAAAACATTTTCTTAGATAAACAACTTAAGCTTTTATGTCTTTCAACCGCGTATATTTTACATCTCACATAAGTTTCTTTTCTGAATTTGGTAACAAGGAAAACTGTAACTACAACTATCTCATCTTCAACTCCATCAGAGACCCAAGAAGGATATAATATTATCTGAGTAAACAGGAAGTACAGAGCAAACATCTTCCAAAACTATAGAAATGACAGAAGCAGCTAGCTTCCTGGACAGTCACCCAAGGCTCCTCTGCAATGTTGGGGCATCCATCTTCAGCCTACAGGCCTAGAATATCTGACAGACTTTTCTGTGAAGTAGGAATTTTGGAGAACTGCCCTATCTTGTTTTGGCAAAGTTTGGCAGTCACCTTCCTTTTGTGTCCAGCTTGTCCAATTTGGACAGCATATTGTCAGCAGTTGAGGCAAGAGACAGTTTCTTGCCCAGTGGCTAACTTTGCCACATTAAAAGCAAACACCATATGGAGGTTCTTCAATGCCCATCATCCTTTTTTGAAGGAGATTGGTGTTACTAGGAGCAGATGCGTCTCACTTTCATGAAAAGTCTTATGTTGGGGCTGGAGAGATGGCTTAGCAGTTAAAAGCACTGGCTGCTCTTCCAGAGAACCCAGATTCAATTCCCAGTACCCACACAGCAGCTCACAACTGTTTGTAAATTCAGTTCCAGAGGATCCAACACCCTCACACAGTCATACATACAGGCAAAACACCATAAAAAGACATTTAAAAAAAAAAAAGAAAAGCCTTATGTTATTAAAACACCTTAAGTGCCATATTATGTAAGTTTCTGAAGTATTTGAAAACCATATCTAAAAATATATCTCTGTATGACCTTGAAAACATATCTAACGTGACTATAAGGTTGATTATTATAGATGATTAATTACTAACCTGTATTTCTTAATTATCCTAAATAGCTTTCAAGGACTAGAACTTTACATTTTATATATATATATATTTTTTTTCTGGTTTTTTGAGAGAGGATTTCTCTGTGTAGCTTTGCGCCTTTCCTGAAACTCACTCTGCAGTCCAGGCTGGCCTCCAACTCACAGAGATCCACCTGCCTCTGCCTCCCAAGTGCTGGGATTAAAGGCGTGCACCACCACCGCCCGGCTACATTATATTTTTGTTTTTGCTTTTTCTTTGGTTTTCGAGACAAGGTTTGTCTGTGTAGCCCTGACGATCCTGGAACTCACTCTATAGACCAGGCTGGCCTCACAGAGATCTGCTTGCCTCTGTCTCCCCAGTGCTAGGATTAAAAGTGTGCACCACCACTGCCCAGCTTACATTACATTTTAAAATGAGCTGCATAGGTACAATATCTTAAATAAGAGTAGAAACATATATACAATATAACAAAAATAACCTTAAATATGTATCAATATACAAAAATCCATACCAATGTAAAATATTTGAGACTAGTGGTTGATCAAAAGTATGCTCCAACAATCCACCCTTTTTTTTTTTTTTTTTTTTTTTTTTTGGTTTTTCGAGACAGGGTTTCTCTGTGTAGCTTTGCGCCTTTCCTGGGACTCACTTGGTAGCCCAGGCTGGCCTCGAACTCCAATCCACCCTTTTATCCCATCATTTCTATGCTATATCCCCTTTTTTCCCTTCAGAAAGAGATCCTTGAATCTAATCTCCTTTGTTTAGTTTTTTTCCTGACCATGACCAATAACAACTTGGGTTTTGGTTTTTTTTTTTTTTTTTTTGGTTTTTTTTGTTTGTTTGTTTTGTTTTGTTTTTCGAGACAGGGTTTCTCTGTGTAGCTTTGCGCCTTTCCCGGAACTCACTCTGTAGCCTAGGTGGCCTCGAACTCACAGAGATCCTCCTGGCTCTGCCTCCCGAGTGCTGGGATTAAAGGCGTGCGCCACCACCGCCCGGCCAATAACAACTTGTAACCAATCTCCCTAAATGATGACAAACATTCATAACCCACCAAATGACCAAAATCACCCACCCCATCTTTTGGGAATGTGGGCATTGTGTTCTCTAGACTGCTTCTTGCTCTCTGGGGGCAATGACATCTTTAGAGGACACTGAGAAAATTGGGATAATTGTCAAGTCCTGGGAGAGCTAAGTTTATCATTTGTTGTCCAGTCTCTGTGATGGGAATGTGCAGGGCTTATCTGAAGTCCTGTTGAGAGTAGTCTGTGAGGCTAGACCATCTCAGCTAGCAGCTTTGAAGATGTTCTGGATGCAGAATTTTGAGGAAACTGAAATAGAGGCGTTTTGAGAGGCTGGATCATCTGAGCTACTTGTTTTTATTGGTGTCTGGTTCTTTTTTTTTCTGAAAACACACAAACTTTTAAAGGTAACATATATATCTGCATAATACAAGTATGGAATATGTGGTGTACACAAGTCAGTAAAGATAATTTTTTGTTTTATGTTTGAGCAAGTAAAAGATATCTGTCAACTTTATAAGTCTGTTTGGAATATATAACCAAATCTCTATCCATGCCATATGAAAGGATGGCATGTAATAATAAGTCATGAGGACTCTGTAGCCAACAAGATTTATCATGTCTCCTCCAGTCTCAGAGCTGTTCTCATGTCGAGGGATCAGCTTATACAACACCTGTCTTTCTTGGCTTTTCCCTGTGTCTGCAGTCAAGATCCTCAGAAGGTCTCACCTGATCAAATCTGGTGTTCATTAATTTTGAAGAGAACCATAATTTTTTGTTTCCTGTGAAAACAAAGGCATAACCTCTCCCCCAATGCAACACATTGCCCAACTTCCATTCTGAAGCCAAGATATTCCTAAAGCAGCTAGGCTTGTATAATTCAGCAGTCCCTTCCACAGTCTCTCGGCAACTGTCATTCTCTGTTCACTAGCATTCAAAAAATTCAAAATTAACAAAGCACCATATAAGGTCCAAACTCCCTGTGTTATAATATTTTCTATCCTTACATGGCTTATTTTTTATATTACTTTATTCTCTTTTTAAAATTTTAAAAATATTTATTTTTTCTATGACTGTCTATATTCATTTTCTTTAGCATCTAAGCACATTTGTAAGCATACTCTACCTGTTCAGAGGTTTTTATCCTGTCTGGATCTGTCTTTACTGAGCATCTGCAGTGTTCTGTGATAGCATGAGACAAATCTTAAACTGCTATGTCAGTTGCCGACGTGGCTCAGCTTAGTGCATGGCACTGGTGAATGGTGCTGGCAGCTGGCTCCAACCTGCAGGCAGCAGCCAGTAGCCACGCCTCTGTATGCTGCCAAGCACCAGCCCACCTGAGAGACTGCAGGACTAGGAAGCTACATCCAGCTCTTTGTCCAGAACTTTTCTTAACTTTCTCAAGCCCTATGTTTGGATATTCAAGCCCTATGTTGGGCACCATTGATAAAGAGTCTTTCTCTGTCCTGTCAGTCAGTTCCCGAACAACAACATTGGAGACTTCTTAATTATGAAAGCTTGTCCCTTAGCTTAGACTTGTCCCACTAGCTCTTATAATTTATATTAATCTACATTTTGCCTCATGGCTTTTTACTTTCTTTTGTTCTGTATGTCCAACTCCCTCCATGTCTCATTGGCATCTCCCTGTGCCTTGATTATCTTCCTCTCTCTGTGCCTGGAAGTCCCACTTATACCTCCTGCCTAGCTATTGGCCGTTCAGTTTTTATTACACCAGTCATAGCAATACGTTTTCACACAGTGTACAAATATCCCACAACAGACTATGGCTCACAACTGTGAATAGTAGACTCAGTTTTCGGCATCCCAGACTGCTATCTTCTGACAGAGCTTGGCTACAGCTCTGAAGTTCTGAAATCTTGGTGAATTCATGATTTACACTCAAACTTTCCATCCCTGGGAGACCAAGTCAGAGCCAAGACAGCACTCCCACCTCTCCCCTGGCCTCCAACACAGCTGTCCTTCTGGCTGTGATTCTATGCTCATCCTAGCCCCTGACAGATAGTCAGATCCTCTTCTTCTTTCTCCTTTTCATGCTGGCTGATCTCTGTGCGCCTTGTGCATCTAGGGACAGAAAATAAATCTTCATTCTCCATCTTTATATCTTCTGGTCACTAAAGAAGAGAGAAAACCTAGAAGAGCATCTGGGCTGTCTTCTCCATGTGTGGTCACATGTGTTGCCGTGCATATGCAGAGATCAGAGAACAACTTTAGGGGTCACTTCTCTCCTTCCACTGTGTAGGTTCCAGAGATCAAACTCAAGTTGTTAGGATGTCGAGAGTCACCCATTGGGCAACCCTGCCCCCACCTGGCATATTGTCATCAAGACAGAATTTCCTTCTGTAGATTACAGCATCCATTGTATACAGAGACCATATTTTGGCTCTTACATCAGTGGACCTTTGATTGTTTCCGCTTCTTTGCTTTTGTGAATAATTCTATAAGGAACATGACGGTATGCAAAGGTACTTTTTAGATAAGATTAATAGTTGAGTGGGTAGAATTTGAGGAAAACAGATGACTGCCAACATGTAGTTGGGCCTGGTCCATTCTGCTGAAGGCCTTGAGAGAAAAGACCAGGGTTCCTGAAGAAAAAAAAAAGCAATTCTATCTGCACATGAAGGCCAAGAAAATATCAGATCTTCCCTGGTTCTCCATCTTCCATAATCACATGATCCACTTCTTTAAATTCAATTGCTGGGCTAGAGAGATAGCTCAGAGGTTAAGAGCACTGGCTGCTCTTCCAGAGGTCCTGAGTTCAATTCCCAGCAACCACATGGTGGTTCACAACCATCTGTAATGAGACCTGGTGCCCTCTTCTGGCCATGTAGACAGAGCACTGTATACATAATAAATAAATAAATAAATTTTAAAAAAAATTCAATTACTGTCTTTACCCAACTTTTGTGTATGAGAGAGATGTGTGCATGTATATGTGCTTATACAAATCCTGTCTCTAATCCAGAAGGTCACACAGGCAGGGACCAGACTCCCTAGAGCCAGAAAGGTTCAGGATCAGTGTGTTCCAGGAACTTTGAGACATTCCCTACTGTAGAACATGCTGTGCATTCTCTGGATAGAACAAGCATATGGCCATGGGTACCAGAGGGTTGGGAGAAAATGTATACGACATGAAGAGTCCAGTAATAGGTTTTCTGTACCCCGATAATAGGTTTCTCCATCCACACAGTAAGCCAAATCAAGCCAATTTGAAAAAGTGTAAGAACAGGTTTATTTGAGCAAAGCAACTCCCAAGTGGGTTCTCCAGGCCCTGAAATTGAAGCCAGAGAAGCCACATGTCCAAACTAAAGCAGAGAACTTATATAGCTTGTAGGTGAGGGGCGATGATGTGTTCACCACAAGCTGGGTTTATGCCCAATTATGGTTTAAAAAGCTGACCACTTTACTCAGGGTCTTGGGCTGCTGGCAACTCCAGGAGAAGAGCTACCACAGCAGTCAAGAATGCAGAACTGGACTTTTTGGTGCCTTCCCTTTGTTCAGAGATTCTCTGAGTGGACAGGGTTTAGAGAGAGAGAGAGATAGGAATGGGTCTTTCCAGACCATGCAGGGGCAAGCTGGAGGTTCCAATCAAACACCCAGAACTCCCGGCCAAGTGCTTTCAAAAACAGAGACCAGTGTCCTGGTTTCATTTCTGCTGTTGAGGAAAAATATCCTGACAAAAAGCAATTTAAGGAAGAAAAGGGATTATTTAGCTCACAATTCCAGATCACTGTCCATCACTGTGGAGAAGTCAGCGTGAGACAGCTAGTCACATCACACCAACAGTCAAGAGCGGAACGATGAATACATACACGCTCATTTGCTTGTTTGTACTCAGCTCCATTCTCCATTCTCAGGGCCCCTAACTACTGAATGGCGCTACCCACAGTGTACTGGATCTTCCCACATCAATTAATTAAGCAGATTCCCACTGCAACAAAATGCAGACAGTCACTCACTGAGACTTCTCAGGTGATTCTGGGTGTGTCACACTGATAACTAGAACTACCCCAACCACCATTCAGCCCTATCCTTCCCTTCTTTTTGTGATCTCTAGCTTCCCTATCTTCCATAAATTCCCGCAGACAAATGGAGTCCTTATCTCAACATCTTCCTGGAAGAGTCCAGCCTGTAAAAGGGGGTGCTAAAAAGGAAAGCTAAACACTGAACCCCAAAAACATATACAATGAGTTAAAGAGCCCAGTACTATTCAGTAGATGGCTAGAGATCATGTACTGTGTGTCAGGTCCCAAAGGAACCCAGGACAAGGCTCACTCAGTACCTGTGGCTTCTCCCAGCACTTCTCTGCCCTTTACCCTAAACCTCTCCAGCCTAGGGTCTGAGCTTCAGTTCCCTCCCCCAGTTTCTCTTTCCTACACAAACCTACAATTTTGGCCATGCACTGTCTTGGTTCTCCTCTTGGTCCAAGGCTGTTCTTGGTTTGCTTGCCCTTTCTCCTCACT